GAAGTATTTTTAAACTAAAAAAAGAAGAATACTTTGTGTTATTAATTTAATTAAAGCAAAAAAGAGCAAAAAAAGTTTGAGGAATATTTGGGCGTAGACAGGGAATGTCTTGGAAATATTTTGAAATTTTTAAACTAAAAATTTCTATGTAATTTCTAATTTTATGTTCAAAAAACTTTATAAAAATTAAATATTTTCCAATAAATATTTTTATTTTTTTGACCATAGTTTTCTAAATAACTAGCTTAAAATTTTAAACTTTTTAGAGAAGTTATCTAAAATTATTTTGGAAATACTTTAAAACAATTTTGAGAGGTTGGGGTCCGGTCCGAAAGATCAAGTCGGGCATCGAATTTTGGCCCGAAAAAGACTCGGTTGGGCCGACTCGAAAACCCCAACTCTACTCTTTAACAATAATTTTTTCTCATAATTACAAAAATAAGTCTACAAAAATTTTTTTTTAATTTCTATGGGAATTAGAACAAATCTCAAATATTTTTTACAAAATTTCAAAAATTTCAAAAAATTTTTTAGAAAATAATTTACTCACTCCGCGCCCAAATATTCTCGATGAATATTAGGGTAAATATATTCTCGATAACACAATAATCTTGAAGAAAAAAAGGAACTTTTTTTAAAAATTTCTTTCTCTTTTTGCAAATATTTTTAATTGTTGATGGATAGGTGTTAAATAAATTAAAAGCTTCTTTTCCCTTTATTTAAAAAAGAATGTCCCCGCAATAAAAAAAGGAATGTTGTCGTTATAAGGACATTAGTAAATTATGAAAGAAGCAACTTTAAAAAAATAAATTTTTTAAACAAAGAATGAGTAATTAATTAATTAAAAATAGTAAATTTTGAAATTAAATTTTTTTATTTAATGGAAAGTAAAATATAGATATTCAAAAATTAAAAAAAATTATTTAAATTTGTTGAGATTTTCTTCTTAAATTTTTGGGAAAAAAAAAATTAAAAAATTTAAGCATTCGTTTATCTTAAAAATTATAAATTAAAGAAGATATGAACCGAAAAATATAAGGTCTAAAAATTTTATTTTAAAGATTATAGGTAGTACAGATAAAGGCATGTACCAATATTTAAAAATAAGTATATATTTTTTAACTTTTCAATTTTAATTATTTAAGGAATTAATTTAAAAAATAAAAAATTGAAAGGTTAAAAGCAAGTTTAATTTAATTAAAAAAATATAATAAACCAACTGCGCAATAATCGTCAAAAAAACCAAAAAAGTCTAGACAGTTAAAATGGTTCTGCTAATTAAAGAAAAAAAAAAGTAATTTTTCTTTTGAAGAAAAGAGGAAATTGTTTTGTTGATAAATACAAAATTAGGGAATTAAATAAAATTAAAATCATCAAGTTAGTTTATATATTTAAGTTAAAAATTAAATCTTAAAAAATTTATACTAGAAAAATTCTGAGAAGCTCGAACCGGGATTGAACCCCAAAAAGTAAGGTAACCTATCAACTATTAAATTATTCCTTTAACCAACTTAACCACAAAATAACCAACACTAAAATTAATCTCTCCTCTCCCTCTCTTCCTCTGCAAATAATTTTTAATAATTATTGCATCACAAAAATATATTTTTTTTAAATATTTTTTCTAAGATTTAGTAAACTTCCGATTTTTTGACAAAAATTAATAAACAAAAAAATTAGGTATTTTTATAAATAAAAATAAATTTATTTTTATTTTTGCATAAAAGGAAAAGAAAAAAAACTTTAATATTATTTTTCTTTTAAAAGCTTTTTTGTTTTTGTTATTTTTTTAGTCTATTTTTGGTTTATTTTAGGGTTGTACCCCGAACGTTCGGGGGCGGGTATGTCGGGGTACGGGGTTTTCCAATTGTTTCGGGGCGGGGTTCGGGTCGGGGGAGCAAAATATGGCCGGGGTTCGGGTCGGGGTACGGGGGTTTAGTGGAAAAATTTTTAGAGAAAAAAATGCTCAAAAATATTTAGAAATCGATATATTTTCGTTGATTTATTCAAAAATTAAGTAGGATTTGAAGAAATTAGAGGGGATTTGAAGGGATTAAAGTGTATAACTTGGGATATAAGTGGATCTGGAGGGATTAAGTGGGATTTTTAGGGATTAAATGGTATGACTAGGGATACAAGGTGATATTGAGTGATTTTTGTTGGTTCAAAGGATATTAGTGATTTATAAGAATATTGATGTATTGCGGATAAGGTTATTTGGACGGATATCAGGAGATATCTTCGATTATTCCTAAAATCTCCCACGAAATCCTTGTTAATTCCGTTAAATTCACGTAATCCTTTCAAATCCATTTTAATCTAAACCTTATATCCCTTTAAATCCCTTTATAACTCCTTAATATCCTACAAATCCCTTTATATCTCTGATTCCCGTTAACAGGACCTCGATAGTTTTCCAACTGTTATGGTTGAGAACTGGTGATACAGAGGGTTTGAAGGATTAAGGGTGGTTCAAGGGATATCAGTTAAAAATAAAATTAATATTTTCAAATTAAAATTTAACTCGTTAATAATTTGTTTTTGTGAAAAAATAATAAAAACAACAGAGTTCTCCTTATATGGATCCGAACCCAATCCTATATTAAAGAAATATCGGCTAAAACCAACGACTAAGCCACTCAACCAAAAGTCTCTTAATAAGAAGGAAAGAATATGATATTTCATTCATTTTTCTTTCAAAAATAATAAAAGCCCAGTAAAATGGTTGGAAATTTTTTAAATTTTCTTCATTAATTTCTCAAAAAATGACATTTTTTAGGGGTATAAAACCCCGATAACCCCGAAACTTTTTAGGCCGGGGAACGGGGTTTTCACTTTTTTTCGGGGCGGGGTTCGGGTCGGGGAGAATCGTGAAAAAATCGTTCGGGAACGGGGTCGGGGTTCGGGGTACGGGGTCGGGGTACAACTCTAGTTTATTTTAATAATAAAAATAAATAATTAAATATCAAAACTCTTGACATTTCTTTTATAATATAATTAAAAAAATATTTTTTTTCTAAAAACTTGGTGCCATTCAAAGATGGCGGAGAGGGGGGATTTATTTGGAAAAATTGTAGAAAAATATTTTTTTCAAATTTTATTACTAAAAAATAAAAAAATATTTCTTTATTCACAAAATAAAATATATTTAAAAAAAAATGGAAATATAGAATGGAAGATAGTGTTTTTTTTTAATTTTAAAGGAAAATAAAAAAATTAAGGATAAGAATTAAGGATAAAAAGTTTCTGGTCAGTTAACAACAGGGAAGATATACAATGAAACTGTTAAAAGTTGTTTTTCAATATGGAATAATTTTAATTTTAAAATAAAGTTAGGAATAAAAAGGAGATATAAAAAATTAAAAAAACATAATTAGTAATTATAACGTAAATCTTCTAATTGAAGCATAGTGCTTTAATTTTCGATCCTCTCGTAGGGGGTACTGAGGTGTGCTTCTATTAGAAGATTTATTAGAAGATTACGATTTTCTTTAAAATTTTAAAAATTGATTGGGTTTTCGATAGGGATTTTATATGGGTTTTTTTTAAAATTTGCGACTCAGATAAAAAAACTTTTATAGGCCTCGCTTTTTCCAGGGGTCTCTAAATTATTTAGTATATACCAAAAAATTAACACAAAAGTACAAACATATTTTTGTATAAATTCAAAAGAAAAAATATATAAAATTTCAATTAATTTAAGGCTTCCAGTTATTTGAAGATTAAAGTATTAAAAAAGAAAAAGATTAGAAAATATTTTTTTACTATTTATTTTTCTAGTTTGATATTTTGATATACATATTTTTTAAATTAAAAAGGAGATGCACTTACTACGCTTAAATATTTTTTAATGTATTTTTTAAGAGTGCGTAATTAAGTAAGAATGTGTTACTGTACTGCTTAAAAATATTTAAAAAATTGAAAAACTTTTAAGGGAGAATTGGATGTGTTTGAATAATTAGAAAAATTGATAGAAAAAAAACATATTTTTTTCAAATATAGAAAGATTATTAGAGAAATTAGTGTTTATGAATAGAATATAAAATTTAAAAATTTCTTAAATAAATTTTAAAGGTTTTAGAAAATTGTTAAATATGTATTTTAAAGTGCAATAAATAGTAAATTTCGAGATTTTAGGAAATGGAAAGGAAATCTTCTTCATTTGTTCACTTTTAAAAGATGGATTAAGGAGAATATGGAGAGAACGATTCTAGGTAATAAAGCTTCTTTAAGATTGGCATGAGTGGACTAAAGTAGATCATCTCCGGAAGCAAACGTAGTAATACTGACTTATTGTTAGAACTACATACTTATAATTCAAAAACAAAAAATGCTAACCGTTATATTATTTTTATAAATACTCATTAAATTTGCTTTTAGAAGGGAAATGTTAACTAAATATTATGGTTAAATTATTTATTATAAAAGTACAAAAATAAAGGTGTAAATATTCTATAGTTAATTGCTTATCAACACCTAATTTAGAAATATAAATTCTCAGAAATGGGACAAAGTGTCTTTGATTGCGTCACAAAAATATTTTAATTGTTTACGTAGATTTTTATCGCCCCTTTCTTTATACACTATAAGCAATATTTGTTCATATCAGGGTGGTCAAAGCGTAGAGATTCACCCCATGTTTTATGGAATCTACTACCCTTGGTTCAGATTGATAAAACTCCAAAGTCCCGTTCTATAAGAATATGTATTATGGAATAAACAGAAAGACGACAGATGTTTTCCCAAAAAATTCTTGCAAAAAACAATAAAATTTCTGTGAATGAATCCCTAAACCATTCAAAAAAATCTTGTTTTTCTTTAATTTTGAGTAAATTACATATATACAAAAACAATTAGGTACCCATATATATTTAAACTTTTTATAAAAACATCTCTCTCTAAATAATCAATCAACTTAATTTATATATACTCTGAATTTTTACACAATTTTTTCTCATAATTATTATTAGAAATCACCTTTATCATGCATTTTAATTTCTCAAAAATCCAAAAATAACTAGCGAAAACGTAAAAAAGGCATTTTATTTTTACAAATCATTTTTACACTTTAAACAAAATATTCAAGTGAACTTCACATGGAAGAGTAATACACTCTTACCCAGTCGTTTTCAACCTAAAAATAAAAAAATAATTTTTAAAATAAATTATAAATTAATTGTAAAATAATCTCTTTTCTTAACAAACATAAAAGTGTGTGGGTACCTATTAGTCTTCACCGCAACCAAAATTTGGCCGGAACAGGAACTGAAATTTTGACCGGATCCGGATCTAATTTTTTGGTTCCGGACCGGAACTGGAACCAAAAAATCCCGGAACTTCTGGCCTACCGGAAACGGAACTTTCGGTGAAGGGGGGGGGGCAAAAGGAATATGTACCAAGTGTGGTATCTTCTCATAGATCGTATGAGCCTAAGCATCTTAAATGCTGTTCGATGACTATGAGGAACTAAATTAAAATCTAAAAAGGATTAATAGTCCCAAAGAAAATAAATATTTAAAGAAACTCTTTCCAGTAAAATAATTTTTTAAAAATTATACATTATCAAGAGTAAATTCGCTGTTGATCCGTCCATCAGGTTTTACTATGGCAAATTGTTGCATTATCTGTCGCAATAAACGGTGATCCATTTGAGGTGCACAATTTGTTGTTAACTGAGAAAATAAAAATTTTTTAAAATATTTTTGGAAAATTAAAATATTCTAGAAAACCAAAAAATTTTTTCAAAAAATTTTCTTCCGCTTCCTCTTCTCTTACCTTCATTCCAACAATTTTAGCCAAAAAAGTATACAAATTAGCAAAAGGTTCAGTTAATTCACATTCTTCAGAAGGCAAACCTTTACTTAAACATAAATGTGCCAAAGAATAATCCAATTTAAAAAGTATTTGTCTGAGAGATTGTTCTAAAGTTGTTGAAGAAGAATTAATTCTAGCACCACTTCCAAATCCAAATAAAGAAAATTCTTTATTTAAAGATTTATAAGGCAAATGAAAATCAAGAAAACGGGCAAGAACGTGAACAAATTGAGAAAGAAATTCGAGTGATGCTAAGGATTCGATGATTAATGGATGAGAAGAATTTTGAGATGATGAGATCTTAAATAAATTAATTAAGCTGAAAATCAAAATTTTGATAATGAAGTGAAATCTGTGAGCAGGCGTCCTAGTATGCTTTGTTGAAACTCGTTGAACTGAATCGGACATGGGTGTCGTCATGGGTGACGAACACCAAAGCGTCACGGGTTCGATAATTTTGAACGAAATTATAACTCGGTAGTACGTTGGAGTGTACCCGTCAAATCCCGATTTTAGATGGGGAAGGGGGGGAGGTGTAGCTAAAACTAAGTTTGTATCAATTGCCTACGAATCTTCATTCAAAAATAAATTTAATTAAAGAACCTGTGTAGAATTAACATTGTTGTTTGTAGGTTCGTCAGTCTGTTGGATTGAAGCAGCTTTAGACAACAAACTTATTCTATCCAAACAAAGGCAATTATTTAACTTTAAAAAAATATTTAAAAATTAAAATCTAAAAAGAACCAAAAAAGCTGCTCTACTCATTTTTGATTGTCCAGTCCATGCAGGGATTGGATTATTTGCTGAAGTAGACAATTGACGCTTCTCAAATCGAAATATTTGAATGAGAACTTTGGCAATAAGAGATAAACGCTCATTTAACTAAAAAAAGACAAGTAAATTTAGGGTGTTTCATATTTGTAGAGCTCAGCCTGGAAATGTATCCAGACTTGATTTTTCTTGAATTCAGAGTTAAGATCAAGGCATTTTTCAGTGTTATCGATTTTCTTTGACTCAAGGACAAGAATCTTGTCAAGACCCTCAACCTAAATCAAGAATCAAAATGAAAGTATTTTTTAAGTTCCAATGTCCGAATATTTGTCCATTTTTCAAATTTATGTATACAAAAGATTTAGGGAATAATTAAAAATAAAAAGGTGCCAGGTTAATAATCAAAAATAAATTACCTTTGCTCTTGTATGTTCTGAAAGTAAACGAATATCTGCTATTTTCAAAGAAGTTTTATTGATTCGATCAGAATGTGCTAACATTTTCTTCTAAAATTGAAAAAAAAGTTAAAGAAAATTTTTTCCAAAAAACCTCTAAAAGAACAATATTTCTTTGATTTCTTTCGCTATGGCTTTCCATTCCAGCAATTCGATGCCTTAGACGACCAACTTGATCCCGTTTCCATGCAATTTTTGTTTTTAAATCCTCAATAGATCTACGTACTTGGTGATATTCTGATTCAAATTTAACCTGAAAATTGAAAAAAAAATTAATTAAAAAATGGAGGAGATTAGTGAAACTGAAAAAGTAGGTTTTTGATATTTTGTAGAATAAAAAAATTTAATTAATAGATTTTAGAAAATAGAAATTTGTTCCCAACAAGAGACGTAAAAAAATTATTTTTAGGAAATGCCAATTTTTGTATAAGACTTTTGTAAAGGGTTGGAATTTTAAAAAGTAATTTAATCGTTTCAAACTTTTGAAATGCCAAATATTTACAAATGGCATGGTCTCTGTTTAATATTTCTAATTTTTCCTTAAAAATTCTAACAGACGAACCGAAAAATTTAAAATCACAAAAAATAGTTAATTTAAAAATAAACAAACTTCACAATTTAAAGCATCCATAATTAAACCACAAATTGCATTTTTGCATTGTTGTAATCTTCTTAATTCTTCATTGACTTTACCAATTCTAAGAAAATGTGTAGATAAACAATTGACACAAATTAAATTTTTTTGAGATAAACGACAATAAGGACAACGAATTTTTGATGATAATTCTGTTGAAATAATTCTAAAAAATTAGAAAAATTTTCCAAATTTTAAATATAAAAAACTCTATTTGTTGAGAAGTTGAACAGCTACAATTATTTATATCTTTATTAGAGGATTGTTGAACTTCAAATCTTTGTAAAATACCCAAAGGGGAAAGTTGTTTTTGATTCGCTGAATTAATTGCAATTGCATTTAATAACATTTAAATAAATGTGAAAATCTAAAAAAATGTAGGAGAAAATAAATTTTAATTAGAAAATCGGTTCTCAAAAAGGAATATTTTTCTCAAATTTTGAAAAGCTTGATGTTTGAAAATTTTGAAAAAATCAAAGGGTGTAGTCAAGAACAAACGATAAAGCTCCGCCATTAAACAGCAATTATTTGATTATGTAAAGTTTGAAGCATTGTTGTTGCTGAACATTACGCATTGCAATTCCCTTTAAGAAAAACAATAAAAGATAATCGAAAAATCGTGAAAAAAGTTCAAACAATTCGCTACAAAAAGGCTTGTACATTTTGTGATTTTATAAGGAAAGAGCATGTAAAATAAAGAGAATTAAGAGAAAAAAGTAATGAGAGAGAGACTTACTGTAATTTCAAATTTTCTCTTATTTTGTTTGTTTGAATAAACTAGGGTTGTACCCCGAATCCTGAGGGCACGTTTTTCGTGGAGCGTTGGAGGATGACTGACAGAATAACGCTCACAATTTATTGTCAGTCATACTCCAACGCTCCCCGAAAAATGTGCCCTCAGGATTCGGGGTACAACTCTAGAATAAACTCGATTTTGTTTGCCTAAAATTTATAAACACATTAATACAACAAATTTATTCTGTGATTACTTCAATACAAGTATTGGTGGAAATAATTATCATTTTTAGGCTTATCATCAGAAAGGTGATTTGAACTTCTCCTTCCTTTCTTCAACGCCTTCAGAGATGAGTTTGCGCGCGCTTCTTTCCTCCATTCAGAGCTTAGTCGGCTTCTTCTTCTGCTCCTTCAGTGCTGGCGGCAGAGGGGCAGCATGCTTCCGGTCCTTCTTGGAGGATGACTTCCCACGGCTTGCACTTCCACGGCTTGCACTCCGGCTTCGAGAACGACCGCCGCCTAAATAAAGAAAAATTTATGACGTTACAAAAGTAAAAATTGTAAAAATTCACCTTTCTTTTCCTTGCGTCCTTTGGATCCACCACCAGACTTCTTACTGCGCGCTTTCCCAGCTCCAGCCTTGGATATCGTTGCTGAAAATAATAAGTAACTTTACAATCCCACAATTTAATCACCTTCCGTCCCAGCACTATCGCTTGCCGAACCAGCCTCCTTCTTGCTACTGCTAGCCTCCTTCTTACGACGATGTCGACCAGAAGAACCACTTCGCTTCTTGGTTTTTGAAGCTTTCCCAGCTGTTCCAGCGTCACTCTCACTCGTTGGAGCCGGCTTGCTACCGCTTCTCTTGCTCTTTGCCTTTTTCCCTTTCGGTGCTTTGGCATCACTCCGTTCTGATGTTCCTTTGCTCTGCTCTGTGTCGATAGTAGCAGCGCCCTTTCCAAACAACTTCCTCACTTCAACCGGTGAAACCAGATAGACGGGAACTGGCGTTGGAGCTCCTGGACGGCGAGCACGTAGAGCAAATGGTCCACCAGCGCTTTCGTCACTTCTGCTTCCCGAGCTGACTGCCTGACTTTCCTCGCTTCCAGCCACCGAGCCCTCTTTCGCTGCGCCGCCCTGTAAATGGAAACAATTTAAAATTTGAAACAATTACTATGTATGAAAAGAAACCAACCTCAGACTCCGCAGGCATTGATGCGTCTACAGGATACAACGTGACATAGTAGATGACGGCAACCACAATGGAGAGCAACAGCAGAACAAAAAACATGTTGACGAAATGCCGCGCCTTTGAGATGAGTTGTTGGGCCGTACGTTTGCAGGTCCGTAGAGTCGAAGATTGTTGATGTGTCCGGCAAGCTTTTAGGAACTTTTATAGTTTTCTTTATTTTTAGAACCTAGCTTCCTCTTGTCATGAAGCCTATAAAAGCTCGGCTCGATGTACACCGAATAACCTCTTCAATACTCGCAACTCCAACCAACTCCAACCTTTGCGCTCTTCACTCTTCAAATGTACGTTTCAAATTCTTTATTTGTTATCTAATTCTTGACTAATCTTTTTCACTTTTTAAGGCTGGTGACAACTCCCGACGACAGGATCGTGTTCCCGGTCAAGGAGGATTCGCCGCCGGAGCCGCTCGTGGAGCTGAAGATCGAGAACAAAGGAGACACGATCCAGCTCTACAAAGTCAAGTGCACGAAGTAAGCGTCAACCTTTCTGCGTCGTTTAGTGCATACCTAACTCGTCTTTTACTTTTCAGCAATGAGCTCATCAAGATCCGGCCCCCTGTCGGCATTCTGAAACCTGGAAGCTCGGCGACGGTTAGGCTTCTTCTCCTGACCAAGGAAGACCTGCCAGAGGACGACCGCCAATGTTTGTTGCTGCACTCTTCATTTTTGCCACAATCAAGCTTTTTTCCTTTTCAGACGTCGCGGTCTACAACCACGACACCGAAGACTCGAACACGAAGGCGCGAATGCAGTGGGACATGGTCAAGAAGGAGCAGGGCATCAAACGTCTCTACGTGCGCTTCGAACGCGAATAGGACGGAAGCGGAAGATGCGTGATGATCATGAAGTGCCACTGTGATTGCCATGTAGAAAAGATTCTCACCCTTGTGATATATTCCCACTGTATATTGTGTCCTATATGTTGTGCAATCACTCTCATCCTATTATGTTGTAAATGTATTTTTGTTGTGATAATCTATTGCCCAAACATTGTTGTATATATTGTTTGTTTGAAATAAATTTTTGTTTGAGTTGGGATTTCTTTTTTTTTGACTGAGAGATAGGAATAGGGAGAGAGATAAGTTAAGGTGTATCCTTTCGAAGACCCATATGAGTTGATAAATAGCGGAAGGTGCGATAAATAGCTCTCCATTTTTGATCCTCTCCCAATTAATTTGGTTACAGTTGATTTTCAAACAAAATTATAAATCAGCCTCACTCAAGTTCAAGAAAATTGGAGTAAAATTGATGTGAGAATTTGCTCACAAGTCTTCGTTAACAATTTTTCATCGACAATGCAAGTATTTGACCCATACTAGCTGCAAAACAGGGCCATTTGAATTTTTCCTGTCTTTTTATTCTGTGCATAGTTTTCTATTTTACCAAAAGCCAACGGCAAAAAGTGCGCCTTTTGCTTTTTTGGCTTATCTTAATTTCGTATAATTCATTAGACTTGCGCAAAGAAAATTTTGTATACTATCTTCTCACGCTCAATAAATGGCGCTCAACCGGCTCAACCTTGGACAAAAGGGTAAAAATAACAAAAAAGACAAAATGGTACGCAAAACATGGCCTGAAAGTTTGGTCAAGCTCCAGTCTCGTTCTTGCCCTAAAAAGTTTCGTTTTTGGTTGTTTACATAGCTTGTTAGCAGTTTTTGTTAGCAGTTCTGTCCAGCGCCGTACATAATTTTTTAATTATTTAATGTTTCTATAGATTATTTATGGAAACTCTTTTAGAAAAAACTTTATTTAAAATTATTGACCCTCCAAATCTTCGAATAACAACTCCAAGATGGTTTACGGTTATTTTTTAAATTTTGATAAAAAATTTTTTAAAATTTATTTTTAAAGTTGCCTTCACCTATGCAAGTCTTCTTTTTTGTAATGGTTACTTATTTTTTAGTTACTGGAGGTTTCTTTTTGTTAAAATAAGAGAATATTCTTAAAAATAATTTTAGGTGTTGTTTATGATATTATAAATGAACCTCCATCTATTGGTTTTTTAAAGTTTTTTTCTTTAAAAGTTAACAAAAATTTTAAGGATCAACTGTTGATGAACGTGGACATAATAGACCAGGTTTTACAAAATAATTTTCCTGTTTCAAAATTTTAGTTGCCATAATGCCATATCGTATCAATGGGCAATATATTATGGAAGGGTTGGGAGCTAGCTTTATGTTCTGCCTTGGTGGTGAGAATTTTTACATATTTTTTAGAGAACTTTAAGGGGTGATAGTTAGGATGAGACCGCTCCATTTCTTTATATTTCAATTTTTTCCCTTTTTTCTTTTATTTTCCATGAGGCTAAGGAATCCTTGTGAAACAATGAAATATTAATTTTATTTTTTATAAAGGAAGAATGAAATGGTCAAAAAATATAAAAATGGGAGAGGGGTCTCTTCTTATAACTAAAAATCTTAAAATTAGAAAATCTTTAACCTTGATTTCTGATTGATTAGATTTTGTCGGGTCAAGGAAAGATCAATGGATTAGAGAATCTCTTATAACCTTTCTTTAAATTTTAGACTTCCCTCTCCAATTTTGTTACCTCCACAATTACTATTATTTTGAAAATAAAATTTTAATTTTTCAGGTATAGGCTTAATTCTTTTGGACAGATGTAATAGTCCTTTGACCACGAAGACCAATCGAATGATGCTTTTCTTCTTAGGCTTCGGTCTTTTTGTTGTCGGATTCTTCACTACACGAATGTTTATGCGAATGAAATTGCCTGATTATTTGTCCAGTTAGATTAGAGGGACTGGAGAAAAGACATTTTTAATGCAATAATTCCTTATGTTAATATTTTATTGTATTTTTTCTAAGTTATCAAAACTGTTAAAATTCTAATATTTGTAGTATTTTGGATTCAAAAATTTTTTCATCACTTTTTAAAATGAACTTTTATTATAATGCGGTGTTTCCTAGTGGAACAAAAACTCAAAAAATTTTAAAAATCCTTAGACTAGAATCTCTAATTGCTGATTTGGAACATATTTTAACTTCTTAGTCCTCAAAACTAAAATTAAGCTGTGAACTCTGAGTTGTGGAAAAACCCAAACCCTCCCCGCCTTAAATCCTATCACAGTAATGAATTCAACAAAAGGCAAGCCAAATTTAATTTATAATCAGATTAAACAGCAAGAAAAGAATTTAATATTTAAAAAACCTTTTAAATATAACAAATAGATGCCCTTTTTAATCACGTTCTTCAATAGCAGTCAAATGTTCTTCAATCTCTTCATTCGTCATTTGTTTTATTTTCTGATTGTTTCTGTCTACATAAATTACCTCAACTTCCCCAGCCCTTATATCCATCCCCAAAGCGTGTTGTAAAGCTTCCAAAGCCAAATCAATTGCTTCGTTAGATGTAAATTGAGTCTTTTTCTTAAATTTCTTCTCCATAAAGCTATTCACTTGTTGCTGTTTTGTGCCAATTCCGAAGCCGCGAACCGAACTAAATTTTAAAATATTTTAGGAGAATGTAAACAAGCATAAATTCGTTCTTACGGAAATGCCAGGAAAAAATAAAAATTACCAATAATATCCAGCTGGATCAATCATAAATATTTGAGGACCACTCTCGTCATCATAAGATAACATCATCATCACTAAAATTTTAAAAACCTGAATTTTATATACAACAAGAAACTAATTTAAAATTTTGATTCAGCTCATCAGAAAATTTAAAAAAAATAAAAAAAAATTTACTGGTTCCAAGCGAACGCATTTCCGCGACTTGAGTGTAGTATTGATTAATATCCGCCATCTTACGAGCTAAAATTGAGATTGGCATATCATAACCATTGTGATATTTCCATTGAGCAGCTTCAGCTCTCGCACGGTTTACTTGGAACTTGCAATCCGCTGAACAAGAAAGATTCTTTAAAAACACAAAGGCAATAAACTTACGAGCTATCCCCAAAACAGTACAGCTAACAGTTGGAGAAATCTTATAAACGTTCTTAACCGAATTTGGATTAATCAGCTTGTCCTGAATTTTAAAAATTAATTTAAAATGAGAATATTAAAAAATACTGGAATTCGACGCTGAACAACAATTACAGCAGCATCTTCAACACAAACACCAACAGCAGTCAAATTAGCAGAATTTGCAGCCTTGAAAGCATATTCAACTTGATAAATACGTCCTTCAGGCGAAAAAATGGTAATATGACGATCATAACCAGCAGAACTTCCTCTTGTCATTTCAAAGAATAATTAAAGATTTTGAGCTGAAAATTGCTTATATTTTTAAAGAAAAAATTAATAAGGAAAAATTATACAACAAATTTCGGTCGAATAACAAACTCTTAAAAATCTCATCCTTTTTTAAATTTTATTCAAATTTACGCGTAAAAATAAAATTAAAATGACATTATATCCCAAAGAATGTCTAAATGTAAAATTATAATAAAATTGTCGAAAAATATAATTTGCTTAATCACGAGCATTTTTTAATCTTTGATTATCGTTTGGGAGCTTATTGTTTCATTTTTCGTCTAGTTAGTATAAGTCACTTCATATGAAGTTAACCACAAGGAAGCTAAAAGTTCTTTTTAAAGACCATACAACATTAATTTCTCGTGGTGAAAAACTCGAAAAATGATAAGAAAGATGTCCTTGTATTTTTTAAATATTTTACTAATTTATATTTATTTTTAGACTTTAAAAGATTTTTATTATACATAATTTTTGACTAAAAAATGTTCTCAAATTCATCTACTGGTCCAATGCCTCATCTCACTGCAATGCCTTCAGGAGTACTTCGTATTCAGCCATACAAATCAGTTAACCCATTTGATGACGATTTTGAAGAAAATGACAATAATAATAATGGAAAATCTATTTATGAAGAACAATTTCAACAACAACAAAGGCTGATGGAACAAAATGAGGCTAAACTTGCCGAATTACAATTAAGGAAAGAAATGGCCAAAGAAGATGCTGAAGCAACTCAAAAATTGGAACAGGTTTTTTTTCGTTTTTTGCTTAAATTTATTAAAATTTAGGATATTAATGACTTAAATCAAATAATGGAAGACTTGAGTAAATTAGTTCATGTAAGTTGGAAGTATTTTTCGTTTTTTTTAATTTTTTATCATTCTAGGAGCAACATGAGGTTGTTGACAGTATTGAGGTTTGTTTTAGTTTTTTTTTTGTAGAATATTTGAACTCGGACTTCACCTAATACACCATTGAGCTTTAAATTTTTATTTTGTTGCTTGTATCCATTTTTTTCAACCAAATTTTTATAAGTTATGTTGCTGTGTTTTGTCTGTACTATGGGTGGTCCGACTGTTTATAATTTTGATTTAATCGTTTTTCTTTAAATTTCGTTTCATTTTATAAACCAATTTTTCTTTATAGGACCATGTAGAGAGAACGGCCCAAGAAGTTAAACTCGCAGAGCGTCATTTACGTCGGGCTGTCGAGACTCAAAGTGCCAAATATCCAGCTGTCGCGGCTGCTGTTGGAGGTGTTGCGCTTGGTGGGCCTGTTGGTGTTGTGGCTGGTTCGACGATTGCGGGTATTGCTGCGGCTGTTGGCGGAGCTTTTGCAGGTTTCTAATATTTTTAACATTATTCCAAAAAAGGGAGTGACGATTCTCCATGTCCTTTACAAATAACCTTCGAAATAATTTAAATTTTCTCTAAAATTTTTACACCGTCTTATTAAAAATTTTTCCTTTAGGTCTCTATGGTGGTAAATTTCTTCGAAAAAAGCATCAACAGCAACATCAAAATGTGGATGCTCCTCCTGTTGGAAATAGCTCAAATATTGATTGAACGAAAGGTTTTTTAAGAAAAGATAAGGCAATCACAAACATATCTTTTTAAATATATTTTACTAAAGGATTTAAGAAAATATATATTTTAATTAATGTACCGGTTGGCCCTTGTACATTCATTTTTTTGAATTATCAAATAAAAAGCCTTTCAATCTAAAATTTTTTTAAATAACTTTTCTGACTTTCAAAATTAAAGTTTTAATTATTTCATTCATCATTTTATTTCTGTAAAATATTGACTGGAATTTAAAATTAGGAAACAATTAAAAATTTATTTTTTTCATTATTCCCATTAATAAGGGGCATTTCTGGATTTTTTAAATGAAAATGTTTTTCCTCGGAATATTTAATTTTTGAAATAATTTAAAAATTAATTTTTTTACAGAATTTTTAAGTATTTTCTTGCGACAGACTTTAAATTAATTCTTTAAAATTTTTTGCAAAATTTTTTTATCATTCCGGAAAAAAAACTTTTAAATAATGATTTTTGGTGACAAATAATTCTTGATAAATTACACCTTTTAATTATTAGGTTAAATTAATCAAAAATGTTTGGCGAAGAAATGTGAGAATTAATATAAATTTCCGATTAGTTTGAGAACGTCATTAAATAAAATTAATTTTCTCTAGAACCTTTAAATCAAAAATATTTTAATTTGCGCGACGTTTATTAAAAAATATTTTAAATAATTTTTATGAATTTTTAAATAATTTTCTCTCCTTAATTTTTTAAAATAAATAATTCAGTATTTTTTTCAAATTTGTTTATAATCACAAAAAGGATATGAAGGCATTAGATATCTAAACCGTTTATAAATCACATTGATAATCTTTATATTATTTTTGAGAGTTTCTTCCTTAAAAGACTTTTCCTTTTTACCTTGTTTCTCATAAAAAACAAAACGTAGAAAAATCTGATCCATAAAAATTAGTTCCTTTTAATGTAAAAAATATTCTTTATATTTTTAAAGAATTTATTTGTGTTTGTAAGAAAGTTTAAAAATGCAAAATGTATAATTAATATTAATTAAATAATTAATATTAATTTGATGACTACATATTCTCCCGGTCATTTTCATGCGCATAAATAAATTATTTAAATGGAATTCCCTTCCCATAAATATTTTTTTATAAAAATATTTTTTAAATTCATAAATAACCCCTTTTCACATTCTTGTGACTTCCGTTTTAGTAGTCTTTTGGTAGGAAAAAAATTATATTTTCTTTAATAAATCTTAAAAATATTTTTATTAAAAATAAAAAAATTGACTTTCAAAATTCCTTATAAAAGATGTAATATTTGGTTCTTTCTAAATAAATTAAAAGTAAAATTCCTCATATTTTTATTACATTTTAAGTTTTTAGAAAATTTATGAAAAGATTTAGTATTCTTTATTACTAGGAAAGATCTAGAAAAAATAACTTTTCATTGAAAAACGAATTAAGATTGGAGTGCAATGTCCTCTCAGTCCAAAAAAATCGAACGGTTCCATGGATCCGGCTCCAGAAGTGGCTAAAATTCTGACAATTCCCGATATTCTCTCGTTAATAATGTTTTTCTGATACAGGAGAATCTTTGGATATCTACAACCAGAAATAAACTACTCGGAACCTTCCTTATTAAATACTCTTTAGTTGCCCAAACTTTCTTTTTTTTTACCTTTCATTTTTACACTTTAAATAAATTTGTGATTAATTAATAACCTATTAAAAATAATTTTAAAATTTTTTATTTGACAAATTATATTTTTTGAAAGTTTTATATTTTTGATCTCAACTTTTCTCTTTTATTTTGATCTATTCTCCTTTCTTTACTTCACACTAAAAAATAATTATTATAATATTTTGCATTTCATCGAAAAATTTTTTTTAAATTTTTTTCTTTTCTCCCGCTAGCAGGTAATACCTGCCTTAGAGGTATTCTTTTCTTCCTTCTCTTTGTTCCATTATTTTTAGAAGAACTAAAAAATAATTATTTTCTTCCTCTCCAATCTACTCGCGCATTAATTAATTACCTAATTTTTAATAAATCAGTCGAAGGATAGGGACGTTTTGGCGACAAGCTTTAGGGCGCGAGCCTTCAAAAATTGTAATCTTTTGGCTCTAAAAATTTATCAAATTTTGTAAAAATATTCTTAAAAATTCAAAATAATTTTCTTTTTATTTTTTAATTTAAAAATAAATTAACCTTTCGCCCAAGAAAAATGATTTTTTAAATTTTACTTTTAAGGATTGCGCCCAAACGACCCCCAACTTTCTTTCTCACTAATTAAATAATTTTAGGGGGAAATTAGAGCGATTAACTGCCTCGGGGTCAAAGGTCTTTTTAATATTTGGGTTAGTATATCCGTTATTTTATTTTTAATAAATTTAAAAAAACTCTCATAATTTTAATAAATAAATGTATTTATTTACGTCATTATTTTATTATTTATTTATTTCTTAACTTTTTTTTGTTTAGTTGCCAAGGTTTCTCTTTTGGTATTTTCTTATTACAGGGGAATATATAAATTTAAATAAAAATATAAGAAATATATTTTTAGTCATTCTTCTTAACTGCTCTAAATTTCAGGTTGCTACATAACAGGATAATTTAAATATTTTTCTCCTAAGTAAAAGTGAAACAAGCCTTCTTATCATCTTTGTATGGTCAACCCCCTGGCAAGGTTTGGCAAGGTCCCATGGCAAGGTCTTTTGCCACCTTTAGGGGGCATTTCCCTTTTTTTCTTTGTACCTTTTTGGCTGATTTCGCCCCATTTTTGTCCATTCCTCCCCATGCCCCCATTTTGGTGGGTTGGAAAGGGAACCATGATCCCCGCTTACAACAACAATATTAAATTTTTAATTTAATTAAAAATCTTTTTTTTTAATTTTTGAAGTACTCAAAAAATAATTTTTAAAATTAATTTTAGAAAATCTAAATTAATTAATTAACTCTCTTCCACTTTAAAATTACCTCCTCTCAAGTACTTTTAATCAATTTTTGAGGATTTTTATTTTTTTTAATTTTTGACTTATTTATTGACTTTAAATAAATTGAGGAAAAGAGATTAACCAACAAATGAGCTTCTTTTTAAAGATTTTAGCTAAAAATATCCTTGAGTGGATCGATCACTGATTTTATATAAAATATTTTTAGCTTTTTTAGAAGGGGAATTTTAATTGTTTTTTTTTGGATGAGGGGATTGGAGAGAGAAAAGAATTATTTTAAAAAATTACACCAAAAGTGAAACCTCTCAATTACGTCCCGGGTTGAGTTTCTGACGTAATAGAGGGAGGGAATAGAGAGACGTTAAAGAGAGTTTCCATATTTTAGCTATACTTTTTTTGGAAATATTTTTAAGCTAATCGATGGGCTGCTAACAGGGACACTTTTTTGCAAAGCCTCTCTCTCATAAATATTTTTTTGGAATATCTACTAAATAAATATAAAAATTCATCTAAATAAATATATTAGTACGATTTTATTTTTTAAATAATTTTAATTTTTTCTCTCTTTTCTACTCGTATTAGCTTTTTAATTAATTCAATAAAAATTTCCAATATTTTTTTAAAATTAATTTATTAAAAATTAATAAAAAATTTTCTTCAATTTTTCGCAACTTGTAATAAATAAAAATTATATTTAAAAAATTTATTTTAACTTCCCACACATTTCTTTAAAAACGTCATCATTAAGAAATTTGTATTTTAAATTAAATTAATTAATATTTCCCATTATAATTAATTAACTTTTCATTTCCTTTCAATTTTCTTTCCTCTCAAGTTGAAAATTAAAAATCATATGTTCCCAAAAAATATTTTTAATTAATTTAATTTTGTTTTTTTAATCGCAAACAATTTACTGTAAAATCTTAAAAATAGCAGTACACCCAAAACTTCTCTGATATGGCACTCCTTCCCTTTCGGTTTTGAGAGGTATTAGAGAGATTTTAAAGAGACAGGGAAGGCGAAAAATTTCTGAAATTTTATGAATATTCTCTGAGGTGTTTCTTACCTCACACACTCATTTTAATATAATTTTTCGAAATAAGGAATGATAATATCCTTCATCTCCTAATAAACAGGCACATTTTACTTCTCTTTAAACTTCATAAAGTAATTTAATTAGTACAATCTTTTCCTCATTCCAAAATATAAAAATTCTAAAGCCTATTTTTTAAATAAATTTCTTATGATTACTCCCAACTCTTTTTTTATATTTTTTAAAACTCCCTCAAATTTTCAGAGAATTAACGAAAAAAATTATTTTTTAAATTATTCAATGGGTCCAAAAATGGCAGATGAAGAAATATTAAAATTTCAATTAGACAAAAATGAGAGGAATATTGAAGAGGAGGAGGAAGGCAGACCTATTATAGTTAATTTTGAAGGGGGAGGATGTGAAGAAGGAGGGAGTGATGAGGATGAAGAAGATGAGGAAATTAACAGAGATTATAAAAATATAAGTAGTAATAGCAGCATTGAAGCTCCTTCTACTAATGTAGAAGATTGTTATACTTCAGCTTTAAATAATTTAGTGGGGGATAATGAAGAGGATAATGAAGGGAATAATAGTAGACATTATTTTGGGAATTATACTCGTTATTTGGTAAGGGTTTTTAAAGAATTTAAAATAGAATTGGGGAGGAGATCCTTCTCAAAGTCCCGCATCAGTCACGAATCTCGCACCAGTCACTCCGGATTCGAACCTGCGACCTCCTGACAGTTATTGCTAGGCGCTTTCGCTCACCGTTTATTGTAGCTCTACCACTGAGCTACCGGGGCATCGAATAATGCTTTCTCGTTTATCCTTTTAGATCGCTTAACCCCAGCCTAAGCGTTCTAAATGCTCTAGGTGAATCATTCTTAAATAATCACTTATAGAACAAGTCCTAATAAGAGGGAAAGGTATCAATAATCGTAGAGAGTTTTTAGGTCTACAACCCTATTTAATCCCTCTATATCCCCCTATTCTACTTATAAAGAAAAAGTAAGGATTGAGTGATAAGACTGATATAGGTCTTTAGGGTGTAGATCTTCTAGGGTGGACTCATTCTAGCAATTAATTCACAACCCTCACAAAGCCTCTCTTTCAAGAAATTTTTAAAAGAAATTTACAATAAATTAAAGGTAATGTTTATCACAACAATGTGTTTATCAATGTCAATGGCCAATTCTTTGGCTTTAAACTTTACAGTAATATGCATGCACAAAGACAGTATAGTAAACAGTAATCTAACTACAGGCGAAGATTCAACACAAAAAGGTAAAAATTCATTCCCCATAATGACAATTTGTCCAATTTTGCCTTAAGTGGCATTTTGTAAAATTACATAATGTCGGGCTAGGGAGGAAAGAGAGAAAGGAAAATGGGAATAAAAAGAGAGAGAAAAAGGAAAGAAAAATGTACTTGAAAGAGATAAATAGTGAAGAAAATAGTGAAGTGTTTTGTAGCATTTAAGAGCGTTAGTTATAAACTATCTAAAAGTATTTAAAATTAAATCAAAAGTATCGTTGAAAGGAAGCATAAAACGTTACCTTTTATATCGCGGGCCTTGAGATGAAGACCCAGCGTTTACATTTTTTGGAGTCTCACGGGAGTGAGATTAAAAATAAGAGTTTTGAATTGAAATTAAAAAATACGTGGAGTAAGAAGCAAGTTAAAATTGGGGTGAAGGAGTTTGAAAGTTCAAGAAGTGTTGATAAAAGCACTGGATGAATTTAAAAAATTTAATAATATTTGGAATAAAAATTTTAAAAATGAGGCAAATTAAATTAAAAGTTGGGATTTTCTAAATTACTTTGAAAATCTTTTTCCCCATAGTTTCTCGTCCAATGTTCAACAGTGCTGAACAAGCTCTTCTATTTTCGTCTGTACCTGTTGGGACTTTATTGGGAACATTACCTATTACACCTTTAACTTCTCGTTTTGGAATGAGGTTTTTTCAAGGAAACGAAACTTTTAAAAATATTTTTTTCTAGAAAAACATTTGTTTTCTACGGGTTAATTTCAAGTTTTGCAACTTTATTTACTCCACTTGCTGTTAAATTAGATTTTGGATTTTTATTAATTATGCGTGTATTACAGGTGGTTAAAAATCTAAATTGGTCTTTTAAAAAATAATTTTTTAGGGTATTGCTGTCTCTATATGTTTTCCAGCTAGTGGTTAATATTTTTAAAATTCTTATTAAATAGTCGCTTATATAGAGAGTTAAAATAACGATAATTCTATAGACGACTTTTCGCTCCTATAATTAATATTGAGTCCAGAAAGTCGGTACTGTATTTTCAGTCATAAACTCTCATTATAAGAGACTTTCTCTTCTTGTCTCTAATAACAAGAGTTGACTATATTGAGGGTATATTAAACAATTAATTAAAGGTTCAATAATTGCTGACTGGAGCCCTCTTCGAACTGCAGGCACGTTTATTGCTTTTCTCTCCTGCCATATTCAATTTGGCCCTATTTTAACTATGCCATTGGCTGGGAAATTGTGTGAATCGAGTTGGGGATGGCCAGCTGTCTACCATTTGCAGGCAATGCGGCGTAACTTTTTATTTTATTTTTAATTAAAATCAGCAGATATTTTATTTATTAGTAGACCTCTATTTAATGTACACTTATAGTGGACTCTCTATATAATGGATTCCCTATATAGTGGACATTTTTTTAAGATTTATTTTTACTTATACATTACAAGACTCCCTATGTTAAATCTACACCCTTCTTTGAAAGAAGTCGTTATTAGTGGGATGGAGGTAAAATGGAGGTCTAAAAAAAATGGAGGTCTACCTGTATTTAAAAAATTAACAAAAAAATCTTTTCAGTCAATGCTAACAGTCTTTGCTTTCGGGGCATTCTTCACCTTCTATAGAGACTCCCCAAGAATACACAGAAATGTTTCACGCAAAGAACTTTGTAAAATAGAAAAAGGAAAGCCCCCATCAGAGGCCGGGCCAGTTGCTCGTAATGGAGAAATACCTTATGCTGCTATGGTAGTTTAAAAAAATTCTTTTTTTAATTCCTAAAAATTCTTCAAAGTTTCGTGATCCAGCAGTCTGGGCAATTTTCTTTTGTGCTATGGGGTCTACTTTTGGTTTTCACATTTTTATGCAATATGGGCCTGTTTATTTAAATCAAGTAATTTCTTTTTGAAATTTTTTTTTTCAAAAAATTTTTTCTTTTAAAGATTATTAAATTTGATGTTCAACGTACAGGATTTGCAATGGCACTTCCTTGTATTTTATCTGTACTTGTTAAACTTGTTGTTGGTTCACTTAGCGATAGGGCTAGGTTGGAAATTATTTAAAAAAATAATTTTCTTAATTATAAAATTGAACTATATCTTTAATAATTAGCTCAAAATCAAGTCAGAATATAGTCAGAAATTATTTTTAAAATGAATATTCAAAGAGTAACAAATGTAACGAAAGTAAAAGATTAACTAAAAAAATAACTTAAAAGTATTCTGATTTGAGGGGAATTATGTATAAGGAAAGGGCGTTAATATTCTGACCTGACTCCGAATCAGACCTGTGCATGGACACGGTTTTTGGTGTCCGTATCCGGATATTTACGGCGTATACCCGCAGGATATCCGCAGGCATCTTGATATTATTTGTATCCGTATCCATGCACAGGGGTCTGCTCTGAATAATTATAATTTTAAATAATTTTTTCTAATTTTCCCAGTTGTCTATCAGAACGTTCCCGCGTTTTACTATTTGCTTCACTTTCACAATTTTTAGTAGCTATTTGTTTCTGTACATTAGCATTATTACCTCAAAACTCCCCGCCTATTCTTTTTCAATGTTTCTTTACTACTGTGCCTGTTGTTTGTGGGCTTAATTGTGCTGGGCTTGGGAAAAGTACACAATTGGTGAGAAGAAATTTTTTTTTAGAAATTTTCAAAATATTTAAGCTTTTAAATGGTAGAAATTAAACTCTAAAAGTTTCAGAATTTTTGTTTGAAAAATTTAAAAAAAAATTTGAAAAAAATTCTGAACGAAAACTTTCAAAAGTAACTTAAAAATGTTGAATTTTAAATGATTTTTTTGTCATAATTTTTGAATATTCTGAAATTTTTGAAAGGATTAGATAACACTATGAAAAATATTCATATGTTAATATCAGGTTTAAAAAAAAATTTTTTTGGGAATTTTGGAAGAATATTGCTTTTTTGATGTTCACAAGACAGATTTCTTCTTTTTCAAGAAAAGTTCAAAAAGGGGGCAAATGCCTCCCAAATGAGGCAAAAGGGGATTTTAGGGATTTTTGAAGTCCATTCCCTCCTTTAAATATCTCTCTTCTTCACTTTCTTTTCAATATTAATTTTAAAATTTATTTTTTCCCCAGATTTCCCGTCAATTCGCTCATGTCGTTACTTCATTTAGCGTTTTTGCCTGTTCTTCAATAATTATTTTAATTCCAATTTTGGTTAGCTTTTTAGCTCCAGATAACCGTCCAGAACAAGTAAATTCTCCTCCAAAAATTTTTTTTCTAAAAAAAATTTTTTTTTCTTAAGTGGACTAGAATATTTATTATTGTTGCTGTTGTAGTAGTCTGTTGTGTTGTATTTTTTGATTGTACAGCAGAAGCATCTCCTAGACCGTGGACTTTTACAAAAAAGCAGAAAATATCAGAATATAAAAATATTTCAATAAATAATATTGAAAAACAAAAATTAAAAGAAAAAATTGGAGAAGAAAATAAACAAAATAAAGTGAAAAAATGATTTTAAATAATAACAATGAAAATACATAAACAATTGCAAAATATTTTTAAAAAAATTTTAATTTTCTTTTTTTCTTTTTCCCAAATATTTTCTTTTTACTTTGATTTTGTTAAATTAATTAGAATTAAAATTAAAAAAAAAAGCCGGAGAATAATTCTTAATTTTAAAAAAGTTCTCATCCACAAAATACTTTCAAAAAAGATATACCTATATCTAAAATTCCTTTTCCAACTGAAAATATCAAGTCTGGATCACTTATAGAAAAAATCATAACCCGACAAGTACTAAGTCGGTTCATAAAAAATTAGTTTTTTAACAAAAAAGATTTTTTCAAGAAAAAATAAATCTCAAACTAAATCGGATGAATAAAAATCTAACTGAACAAAATCATTGCTCCAAGTCTTAACAGCAATTTAAAACAAGAAAAAAATATGTAGAACCCTTTTTAAGAAATCTGACCCCTTGGTGTCTTCACATTTATTCGATTTTAACTTATTAATGAGTAATTAAATGAGTTAATCCTCTAGTTGACAAATACAGCTTATCGAGGGCTTTCGAATGGTATAAGATTCATTTGGATTGGATTAGGCATAAAATAGTTACAGTTGTCAAAGTTGGCCGACACTCAACCTGTCACACTCAACCAGCCTCACTCAATTTTAAAAATACAGTATTCGATTTTGGCGTTTTATATTTTTCTTCCCTCTATTTTTCTATTTGAGTATTAATTGATTGTTAATTTTCATTTTTTGGCTTGTGTTTGCTTGTGTGATTTTGTTAAAATTTTTAATTAAAGACATTTATTATAAAATTTTATTTATTTAAAATGCCTGCAGCGTTCTTTGAAAATTCTGAGCCTACAACAACTGTTAATGGTGGATTGGTTATTAAACGAATGCCTAGGTATTGTTTTCTAAGTTTTAAAAAATTTAAAAGTTATCAATAACGGATTATTGTTAGTAAAATTGTTAGGCGATAGGAGGAAGCCTGAGTTTCCGGCAAATGACCACAAAGATATCTGTTTTTGGCACCCTTGTTTGATTATAAAAATGTTGGGAAGATAATTTTACATTGAATTTTTTAGATTGAAAATCGACGATGTTCATTTTAATTTGTTACAACACAAGTTTGACATGGTTCAATTGCGTAAGAATATTGACCCGTCAATTTTTGAACATGCGGCGGTTTTTTAAATAAAATATGATCTTCCCTTCTATTTTTAAATTTTAGACGGTTAAGGTGGCGCTTGACACAAAATATCCTGAGGGAATGCATAAATACGCGGACAAATACAGGGCTTATAATCAAATTACGCTTATTTTTGACACGGTTTATTTTTTCTTAATTTTTTCTTTCAAATTCAAAATTTTAGCTCAGTCAGTTGCGAAACAGTGACGGGCCTCACTCAATTTATCCGTTGACTTTGCCCAATGGAAATGCTACTCCAATGCCTGTGTATCAAGTTCAGCTGAGCCAGGATTTTTGTGACCGTTTTACTGTGCCGAATTATGGGACTATTAAACTGGAGAAGGCGATAAAGGCTGCAGGTGTTCCTTCCAACGAATATCGAGTAATTTTTAATAGTACTGGAACCTTTTCTCCACTGGAACCGTTTCTCCATACCGGAACCGTTTCTCAAACGAAATTCCTCTAACATGGAATCTACTTTAAATGCCAAAAATGCGGCGCAGAAAAAATTTCCTCCCTTGGCCCCTCCCGAAAAAATCCTGGTTACGGACCTGTGTCTATGTCTAGCAATTTTTATTTTTTTCAGTGCCGAATTCTGCATTATGATGAAACTTCTCGTATTGTTCGTTTCTCTCCATTTATGGTGCAGAGATTGGACGATTGCAAGGTTAACTTTTACAAATCTCTCAAAATTCCCTTCTAATTTTTTTAAAAATATTTTTTAAGTATCTTGTTCGTTTTGAACCTTCACGTTTCGTGTATAATGCTCGTTATTACATTCTTTCAAATATTTATCGTCTTCAAAAGGCAGTTAGTTTTCTGATTTTTCCGCAACCTTTTGATGATGACAGGGTAATTTAAAGAAAATTATTTTTCAAATATTTCTTTCATTTTAAAGCTTCCTTTGGATCGTTATATTGAACAGCGTGATGTTATGATTAAAAATATTCGGTTTTCGTCTAATTCCTTCAATCAAGAACAACGTAATGCAATTTTTGCAATTTTGATGGGCCGACATATTAAGGTTTCTTTTGTTTTCTTCTTCAAATTTCAAAATTATTTTCTTTAAAGATAAATAATAAGAGTGGGACGCTGCTTCCCTACATTATTCATGGACCACCAGGTTCACTCTCTTTAAGTTTAATTTTGAAAAATAATTTTAGGAACAGGAAAGACTACAGTTCTGGTTGAAGCGGTGCGATTGTTATTGGAACAAAAAGATTATGACACAAGAATTCTTGTTTGTACGCCATCAAACACCGCTGCTGATTTGTTTGCCACAGAGTTGCTAGAAACTGCAAAAATTGATCCGGAATTGGTATTTCGACTGTATGCATTGATGGTGCCTGTAGAAGATTTGAAGGAGTCATTGAAGCCGATAACTTACACAAAGTAAATTTTCTTGAATTTCTTGAAGCTTTTAGGGTTCCTGTCTTATCGTGAACTTTAAATAATAATTTTTAAATTTAAGGACACCTGATGGATTTTCTGATATTGAAATGTTTGCTATTCACCCCGCCGAGAGATTGCTCAAGTTCAAAGTGATTGTCTGTACAATGATGGCTTCTACTTATTTAATGCTTGGCTATGTTTCATCAAAATTCTCGTTAGAATTTTTTTGTTTTTTTTTTTAAATTTTTATTCTTTTCTTTAGGCATATTATAATCGATGAAGCTGGTCAAGCAAGTGAACTTGAAACTCTTGTGCCGATTGGTTTGTTTATGTTTATTGTTTTCAGATTTATTTTTTATATTTTCAGTTGGGGTGATTGGAGAAAGAAACGATTGTAAAATCATTTTGGCTGGGGATCATAAACAGCTTGGTCCGGTTGAAAATGTGGATTACTTTCGAAGGAATAAATTTAGTAAGAAATAATTTCGTTTAAATTTTATTATTTTTTATTTTTTTAGATAATTCTTTAATTGAACGACTTCAAACTGTTGAATGCTACAAAGATGATGAGTGAGTTTTTTTAATTAAATATTTTGTCAAATTCCATTTTTAGACGTATTATGACTTTTCTTCGCAAGAATTATCGTTCACATGAGGCAATTATTAAGGTTCCTTCACGCCTTTGCTATAATAATTTATTGGTTGCCGCTGAGGATGCCTTACCAAGAGATAAACTTGCTAATTGGGAAGGACTTCCAACAAAGGTTTTTTAGGGAAAAATTGAGTTTAAAAAACTTTTTAAAGGGGTTTCCGTTACTTTGGCACCATATTGACTCCCCAGAAAAGTGTGAAGATAAAGGGACTTCATATATGAATTTTGGCGAATTGGAACTGGTTCTTGTTTATGTGAAGAAAATTATCAACGAATTAAATGTAAAACCTGTTGATATTGGAATTATTAGCCCATACACATATCAGGTTAACTTAAAAAATATTTTTTTTAATTTTTCAATATTTTTTAAGGCTCGTAGACTTCGTCATTCATTAATGGGTGACTTTGCTGATATTACTGTGGACACTGTTGAACGTTTCCAAGGGTCACAACGTCGTGTTATTATTGGTTTTTATAATTATTCTTTCCTTCCTTTCAATATTTTGTATTTTTTAGTTACTACTGTTCGTAGCAACCCAGCTGAAAAACTTGGGTTTATGTATTCTAAAAAGGTTTATTTTTTAAATTGAAAAATATTTTTAAGAAAATTATTAATTCTAGCGTTTCAATACAACAGTTGCCCGTGCTGAGGAATTGTTGGTAATTGTTGGAAATGCAAAAATTATGACTAAAGTTTCTTGTTGGGGAAGGTAATTTTGAAATAAAATTTTTAAAAATATTTTTATAAAATAAATTTTTAGTATGTACGAACATTGTCATCAAAATAATGCCGTTATTGGAGTTCCAGAAGAATTAAAGAAAGAAATTTTGGTTAATATTGAAATTATGAAGGCAAAAAATATTGAAGATGATGAAGAATTGGAACCACAAAAGACTGCTAATTGGAGTGAACCAAAGAAATTTACAACAAATGAATTAAAAGAAAGACATGTTGATGTTTCTAGCTCTTCTGGCGATGAAGCAGATGAATATAGTACAACGGACAGTTCTTCATCTGATTCAGAATATGAAGAAGAGGAAGTTGAAGAATCTGAAGTAAATGAAGATGACGAATTTGCTTCTATTGATGATGGATCTGTTGGTCGTGGGGAAGGAGGGAAAATTCGAATGAAGGCTTCAGATGATGAAGAAGAGGAAGGAGGAGGGGAGGAAATTGTTGAGACAAATTTTGTTATGAATGGAGAAGGGGAGGAGGATGCAGTTCAGGAGGTTTTGAATAATTGCGTCACTACAATTGTGGATGAAAATACATAAATTTAAATTGTTATAAGAGTTAAAGAGATATTTATTTTGTTAAGAGAGTTTTAAGTTATATTTATGATTTTTACAAGTATCCCCTTAAATATTTTTTGAAAATCCCTAATTTAAATAGAGAATATATTTTTAAATAGTGTTTGGCAAATTTTGATGTTTTTCTGTTGATATTTTAAGAAAATTCGGGAAAGAACCTCGCAACACTATTGCCTTTTGCCGAACACATTTTTGAATGTGCAGATTTTTAATTTGAAATCCTCAAAGAATTTTTTAAATTTTATTTTAAAAATTTGCACATACAAAAATACATTCCAAATACAATGACCCACTCCCCTTTCCCTTTGTTTTTATTTATTGAAAAGAGAAATTGTTTTTGTTTGTTGTGAAATGAATATTTATTTTTCTTAGTTATAAATTTGTTTACAATAGATTTGAAATTTCCAAGATTATTTTAGAAAATCTGTGGGATTGATAATTGGGAAAGAATAAAATCAATTATTTATTCAAAGCTCAAAAACTACAAATATAAAATATAATGAAATAATATAAACATTTTGGGGAGTTATGTTTAATATAGATTTCGATAACTAAGAGAACATTTTTGGTTAAGTTGAAATTATTGACCCGCGGAAGAAATTAGCTATGTAGAACTGCTACTAATTAACTTTATAAAAAATTAAAATTTTTATTAAAATTTTAGTGCCGTTTTTTGATTTTATTTGGAAATGGCGTCTCTAGGATATACATAAATGTAAACTCATTTTTTATAAAAAATAATTAATTAAATTTTGAAATCAAAAATTTTTTTAATCCTAACTTAGTCAAAAAATTCATGCTATTTGGAGATGGCGTCTTGGTCTTTGGTGGAGTTTTGCTTGGACACTTCTGATCATTTTTTAGCCACCTCCTCGTCTTCACCTCATTCATTAACGAAGAAATAGTGTTGCTGTCCTTAAGGAGAATTTTGAACTTTAACGAAGCGAGTTAGTGATTTGGAGTTGAAAGCTGTTAATGTCAGTTAATTTTTGTTTTACACTTTAAAGATTAAAAATCGTTATTTTAGGACGCCAATACCATAACAGAATTGCAAAACAAGGTGAAGAAACTTCATGAGGAAGTTTTTGAGCTTAAAAAGGGAAAGCAGCCACCTAAGTGACGACTCCGAAGACTCCTTCCCCAAACAAGACTCCGTCTCCAAATAAATAAGAAGAAAATTTTTTGATGGTGTTACTAACAAAAAAATAAAACTTTGATTCTTCTTTGGAGGAGTCTTCGGAGCCGTGCACTTAGGTGGCGGCTTTCCCTTCTTAAGCTCAGCAACCTCCTCCTCAAATTTCTTCACCTTCTTTTGCAACTTTATGATTGTATTGCTGTCCTTTCCCCTCAAGTTTTTTTGGGGGGAAAGTCTTTCAGGACGCCAACAACATCAAGGAGAATGCGAACAAAATCAAACAACAGGCGGAGGAAATCAAAGGGCTCAAAACGAAAGTGTCTACTCTTGAGGGCAAAGTCAATGCATTGGAGAAGCGCAGCAGTCCGAGTCCGCGAAAGAAAAGCACTTCACCATCACCAAAGAAGTGAATGGGAAAATATTTTTTTGAAAATAATAAAATTTAGGTTGTTTTTTGAGTGAATTTAAATAAATTTGGGTGTTTTGTCAGTCTGCATAAATGGGTTAGCGGGAAAATTCAACGAAACTTCATCAAGATGAGTATCTAAAGTATACGATCGGATGGAATGTTTATGGCAACAATTATTAGCAAAAAGGAAATTACTGGATAGGATGCTGGACTAAATTTTGTTAAGGTTAAAAGAAACATTTAATACTAACAAAACACCCAAATTTATTTAAATTCACTCAAAAAACAACCTAAATTTTATTATTTTCAAAAAAATATTTTCCCATTCACTTCTTTGGTGATGGTGAAGTGCTTTTCTTTCGCGGACTCGGACTGCTGCGCTTCTCCAATGCATTGACTTTGCCCTCAAGAGTAGACACTTTCGTTTTGAGCCCTTTGATTTCCTCCGCCTGTTGTTTGATTTTGTTCGCATTCTCCTTGATGTTGTTGGCGTCCTGAAAGACTTTCCCCCCAAAAAAACTTGAGGGGAAAGGACAGCAATACAATCATAAAGTTGCAAAAGAAGGTGAAGAAATTTGAGGAGGAGGTTGCTGAGCTTAAGAAGGGAAAGCCGCCACCTAAGTGCACGGCTCCGAAGACTCCTCCAAAGAAGAATCAAAGTTTTATTTTTTTGTTAGTAACACCATCAAAAAATTTTCTTCTTATTTATTTGGAGACGGAGTCTTGTTTGGGGAAGGAGTCTTCGGAGTCGTCACTTAGGTGGCTGCTTTCCCTTTTTAAGCTCAAAAACTTCCTCATGAAGTTTCTTCACCTTGTTTTGCAATTCTGTTATGGTATTGGCGTCCTAAAATAACGATTTTTAATCTTTAAAGTGTAAAACAAAAATTAACTGACATTAACAGCTTTCAACTCCAAATCACTAACTCGCTTCGTTAAAGTTCAAAATTCTCCTTAAGGACAGCAACACTATTTCTTCGTTAATGAATGAGGTGAAGACGAGGAGGTGGCTAAAAAATGATCAGAAGTGTCCAAGCAAAACTCCACCAAAGACCAAGACGCCATCTCCAAATAGCATGAATTTTTTGACTAAGTTAGGATTAAAAAAATTTTTGATTTCAAAATTTAATTAATTATTTTTTATAAAAAATGAGTTTACATTTATGTATATCCTAGAGACGCCATTTCCAAATAAAATCAAAAAACGGCACTAAAATTTTAATTTAAAAATTTAATTGTTTTATAGTCTACAGTTATATCCTAAAACCAACGAACAAACTATTACAGGCACTATTACCAAGCCAGATTAGCCTAGCATTAATTTTTAAACCGAATCCGACCAGGTCGAATTCGGATCCTCTCATATTTTCGGATTCATGATAATCGATTACCTACTAGGAAAATATCGAACATTTTTTGCTCATTTTCTCTGCGAGAATAATTTGAACTTCACCTATTTTTGTTACATTTAAATTTTCAGAACTCGGTTTAACTTAATATATTCATTTCATACATCTTCTGGACATCTAACGGGCCAATGCACCTATCAAAGCAGAACACATTTCAAAGAATTGCATTGTCTGCGACTGGCGAGTCTCTGGTGCCATCTCGTTTGGACTTGGTACTTGCGCAGGTGGCTGACCAACCTATAAAGAATTTAAAGTTATAAACAATAAATTAGAAATACTTCGATAAGCATAGGCAAAGACTGAGCTCTATTAGTTCTCATTGAAGGTCGAACAGGTGTAGAGACAGAAGCATGTCGTGAAGAGCCAGCACTTCCATCATAACCAAAGATAGCTTAAAAAATTTTTTAATGAAAAAAAAATAAAATAAAAAATCCTTACATTCATCATCGACCAAATTTTTAAAGTCAAGCAAGTAGCTACGTTGATCTACTTGATAAAGTTGAAGACTCATTTTTGGCAACATCTTTTAGGAAAAATGAATTAGAAATTTTTTAAATTTGTTTTTACCATTTCTTGATTCTCATCCTTTGGTCGACGTCGAACAACAACATGATAGGCATTAAGCATTTTCCATTCAAAATCTAAGAATTTCATTGCACGGAAGACTTCATACATTATATCATCTAAAATATTTAAATTAAGCCCACCCTTATAAGTTGCCCTTATTCCCGGAACCCATTTCAGGAATAACAAGAAATTCTACATAACTTTCTAGTCTCAATAATTAAAAAATTTTCAAAAAATAATACCAGGTCGGCTTTGTGAACGAATACCCAAATGCCATTTTGCTCTTTTCATATGAGGCGATTTTTGTACAGGTTGTTGCTGTTGTTGTTGTTGACTTGCAGAAGTATCAGATGTATGGCCAAGCGTCGGAGTTATTTTACCAGCATTTTGCATACGTTCAGGATGTCTTTGAGGTAATTGGTCAGATTGATGGAGACGAGCAGTTGGTTGAATATTATAAAATTCTTCTACTGATAACTTTGCAGCTAAAAATTTTTTAAAGAGAATCGATAGGAATTGGGATTTTTTTAGATTAATCAAAAATATAAAGATAAGGAATAAATCATTAAATATTGGAATTTAGAAAAAATAGAACCGATATGGGTCTTTCAAGAAAAATATAAAAAATTCTAAATTCATACTTTCATCAGCAATCCGTTTGTTATCCACAATTAGACTATAAGCAATACTTAAATGATGGTGAGGGTCATCTGACAACAAAGCAGAAGTTACGTCTTTTAAGAAAAAACTTTTTTAAATTTAATTTAATCTCTAAACATACCATCTTCGCTTACATTATAACGATAACAAACTTCACTAACAGCGTCAATATCTACAATGCTAGCTTCACTTTCATTAATTGGCGGGAATAAATAAGCAGGTAAATCTATACGAAACCATTCATGATTAATTGCATCTTTAATTGTTGCTCTCTAAAATAAATAGAAAAAAGAAATGAAAACCGAACGGAATAGAAATTTAATCAGAAAAAATCTTTTGAAAAGAATAAAACAAAAAAGTCAACTGAATTTTGTCTTATAATTTTATGTTTAAGAATTTAGATGTTCCCAAGGGAAAATCTCATAGAAATTATTACTTTCATAGGATCCACTTGTAGCATATGTAGAAGAAGATTTACAACGGTTTTCTCCAAATAGTCGGGGATTGGGAAGATACCAGCTAAAAAAATAAATTTTTAACAAAAATTAAGAATTAAAAAATACATTTAATTTTCCTAAAAAGTGTCGGAACATGTTCATCGTCAAAAGGCAATGTTCCACAAAGAAGAGCATATAAAATAACACCACAAGACCAAACATCAACCTCTGGGCCAGCGTATAATTTTCCGCTGATAACTTCTGGTGCCGCATAGTTAGGAGAGCCACAAGAAGTTCTCAAAAAATCTCCATCTGTCATTATATTAGAAAGTCCAAAATCAGCAATTTTCACATTATTTCGCTCATCCAAAAGTAGATTTTCTAAAAATAGTATTTAAGTAATTTAATGGAAATAAGCAAAAAACCTGGCTTTAAATCACGATGAACAACCATCTGAATAAAAAAATTAAAATAAAATTTCAAAAAATTTAATTTACGTGTCGGTGACAATAGTCCACTCCAGACATCTTAAATTATAAAATTAGTAAAGTAAATTAAATTTTAAAATTACAATTTGTTGAAAGAATCGTCTTGCTTCATGCGTTCTAAGCTAAAAAATAGAGGTTTTAAAATTACTTGGATAAATTGTTCAAGAATTTTTAGATTTTTGACTAGATTTTTTTCACAATTTATCTCTAAACTGTCTTGTAACTAAATAAATCAAAAAGCAGATAGATAGTTTGAGGAGAAAGAAAAGTCAGAAGGTACGAATTCTATTTATAGAATAAAAATAACCAAAGGCGTAGACCAGGGGTCATTTCTGTGGATGGGGGGGGGGGGGGGTTTCAGCCCCTTGCTACGCCATTGAAAACAACTAGGGAAAATCGAAAATTTTTTTAAAAACGTACCCTCCCATGCTTAACAATATAGTCAAAAAGTTCACCACCAGAAACGTACTCCATAACCATAAAAATATCTTTAAAAATAAAAGAAAAATTTAAAATAAATTTATCAAGAAATAACCTGTAGGAGTGCTAATTACTTGATAACTAAAATAAAAAAAAATTTTGAATTATTAAAAATAAACTCCATTTACAGCTTGATAATGTGAGGATGTCGAAACAGTGAAAGATTTTGTATTTCACGTCGAATTTTGCCAACAACGTCAAGAGTCATAATTTTTTGGCGATTGAGGATTTTAACAGCAACTTTATATCCAGTCGCCTCATGAATTCCAACTATAATAAATGAAAGGGTTTTTTATCGAACAAAGGTGACAGAAAGAAAAAGAAACCTTTAACTTTTCCAAAAGTGCCAACACCAAGAGTTTCCTTCAAAACATAGTTTCCAATTTTTATCTGAGCTTTAGCTTCACGATCTGCTTTGCTCAATTCAACAGAAGCCATTCTTCTGTAAAGTCTATTAGTGTTAAATTAAACTCCAAAAAGGTAAATAAACTAAAAACAATAGTTCAAAACAACAACTCAAATAATTTTAACAAATTTATTCAATCGCATATAACATGATTTTTTAACAATTAAAACTGTGATTGAATGTTTTCCTTCCCTTATATGTTCTCACTTATGGTGCTTTCTCATCTCAACAAGGATTCGTTGAATTTCGTCCCGCTTTCTCTTTGCACGGACATGTTGACCAATTCGCTTCTTCAAAAACTTCAGCCTTCTTGTCCTTACTGATACGAAGCAATTCCATAGTTCGACGCTCATAAGGTGAAAAACCAACAACCTAAAGTTTACTGTTAGATGCTTTAAAAGATTTAAAGGAATAGAACTTCCAACCCGAAAGAGCAAGTCCGTCACAAAAGAATTATAAATCAAAATACCTCGCGAACAACTTCACGAACAATTCGTGTCTTCTTCGTAATGCGTCCTTTTTTGCGAGATTGACGCGGCTTGCGAACATTTTTAGTCACAGGATGACCACGATCCAAACCAACAGCAAGACCCTCAACAGCTGGATGTTGTAACTTTGTCATTACTAAATTTCTAAAATTTTTAATAAGTTTAATAAAAAGTTTACAATAAAATAAAATATCTTGTCAAATAACAATGAATCATGCAGCAAGAAAGTTGATTCAAAATATTTTTATTTGAAAAATATAAAAAAAATAAACAAGAAATGTCATTATTTTTTAGATTAAACGGCTCAATCATCCAAGATTTTGATCATCTCCAGGCATTTGCACAACTTGGAATTGTTGTTGATCTCCACTTCCTGGTAACGTCATTATAATAGGTTGACCAGGACCGCAGTTGAGAGGAATTGGTTGGCCAATTTGTGTGGCTTGGATTATCTGTCCATTCTCGAGAGTCATCAGACATTCTGAAAGGGCTGGCATAGAACCATCCGTACACTATAATTAAAATTAAAAATATGATTTGAGACAATTAAACCTGTAAAACATATTGAACATTTTCTTCTCTTTCGATGTCCGTCTGTTGATCGCTTGACTCCTCCTAAATAGAAAAATAAAGTCCATATGCGAACTAAAAAACGTTTAGGCAGACCTTTTGCATATCGTCTCTCGGCAGAATATCAATTAAAAAATCAAACATTTCACTCTTTTCGGCACCAGCTGCCACATCAGCCTTTTGAATTGTTTTGCGTCGATTTTCTTGTGTATTTAGCCAAGAACGTAAAGTTAATTCTTCTATCTTTAATTTCAAAATTAATGGAATTAAAGAGAAGCAAACCACACAAAAATTTCTGCAGCTTTAGCAAGTAGAACAGGAGCCTCCGAACCTATCATCTAAAGTTTGAATTAAAAGTAGAAAAGAAGCCAAACAAAACCTGTGTTTTAAGGCCCTCTTCGATTTTCATGATTTTCTAAAAAAATTAATAGAATGAAAACAACTCTTTCAAACCTTTATTCGAGCAATTGGCAATTCAGAGTGTCTATTAACTTCTCGAAAATTAGTCTAAAAATTTGTATTTACTAAATAGATAAGGAATTCCAAACCATTGTCATTCGATCGATTTTCCCCTGTTGTTTAGGCCAAAACTCTTCAAGATTCTTAGGAGGCGAATCAGCTCGCAAATTGTTGTTAAATTCGGCAGAATCCATTGCAAAACGAATCTAATTGAAAAACAAAATCCTAAGAAAAAAAATTTGTTATCTTTCTTTCTCTAATTCTCAACAAAGACACAATATTTTCACAATCACAGTACTGTAATCTAAACGCCAAAATTTGTACTAATTTAAATGTCTTATTTCGTAAAGTTTTTTCGTTTATTCTCTTTCACAATTTAAACCCTTTTCTTGTTAAAATTTGTTAGTTTAAGAACCTTTAATTAAATTATAAAATGGCTCTTCGTGTTCAATTTGAAGCTAGTAATGATGTCGGAGTATTTTGCAATCTTACAAATGCTTATTGTCTTGTTGGGATTGGATCTTCTGAAAACTTTTACAGGTTTTATTAAACTTAATTCTGAAATAAATTTCTTTCATTCCTAGCGTTCTTGAAGCAGAATTGGCAGACCACATTCCAGTTATCCATTGCAGTATTGCCGGGATTAGGATAGTTGGCAGGGTGACAGTCGGTAATCGACATGGATTGCTTGTTCCAAATGCAACGACAGATCAAGAATTGCAACATCTTCGTAATAGCCTTCCCGACTCTGTTAAGATTCGAAGGATCGACGAGCGTCTTTCTGCATTGGGGAATGTTATTTCTTGGTAGGGAAATTTTCTAAGGAAAAATTAAATTTCATATACCTCCTTTTTTTGCTCTGACATGAGAAGGAAAAAGAGGGGTATACGAAATTTAATTTTACCCTTTTTAGGTTTCCAAAATAAAACTTTTTTCGATTTAAGTAATGATCACGTTGCAATTGTGCATGCTGAGATTAGCAAAGAAACTGAACAAGCTCTTGTTGATGTACTTGGAGTGGAAGTATTTCGGCTTAGTTTGGGCGAGAATGCTTTGGTAATTTAATTTTATATTCTATTATGAATTTAAGGTCGGGTCGTATGCCTGTCTTACTTCAAACGGCGCGATGGTGGCAGCCAAAACGCCTCCTGAGGTTACTAGAGAGTTGTCTTCCTTAATTCAAGTGCCAGTTGTAGCAGGAACTGTTAATAGAGGGTTGGGTTTTATTGGTATTTCTTAATGTGTTCTATTTTCTAGATCTGAGTTAATTGGAGCAGGAATGTGTGTTAATGACTGGATTGCTTTTTGTGGCTTAGCAACAACCTCAGCAGAACTTTCTGTGCTTGAGTCCATCTTCAAGCTTGGCGATAATGCACCTAGTGCAATTTCCAGCAATTTACGTGACACTATTATTGAATCTATGATCTGATTGTTAAATTATGGAATGTTTAAATTTTATATATTTATTTGTAATAGATCAAATAAAATATATCGCCGATTTAGTTTTATGGCCATAACTCTTCGATTTTGATAATTTTCATAGCATTCGAAAGTTCTCGTAATGTGGCGTCTTTTTCATGATCGAACCGTTCTGTTCTGATACAAAAAGTTGCAGATGGAAAGCTGTTTAATATCGCTTATGATCAGTCCAATAATGAAAAAGATGTAGCATTTCGAGATCCTTCGAATCATATTTGCAAATTTGTAATATTAATCCGCAATTGCCTAAGAACCGCCATACTGAATCGGCGATACTCCCCTACTCGTGGAAAAGGGTAGGGGAGTATAAAATTTAAATAATCATTAATTCAACAATCAGATTCAATAATGCCACACAAAAAATATCAAGTATTTTCTGGCTGGACATCATTATCTGGATTCATTTGGTTCGCTTACTAATTGCTAAAGTTGTGTAATCATCTTCATTGTCCTGTAAAACCAAGTAAAATCTGACCACCTCTTGTGGTGGCGTCTTCGGAGATGGCGACTTGGTCTTCTGTGTCTTTGGCGATGTTGTTTTGTTTGGACGGTCCTGAGCTTTTGAGCTTGAGTTAAGGACAGCAACCTACATTAAAGAATGAGGTGAACACTCTGAAGGAGGAGGTGGCTAAACTCAAAAATGATCAGAAGGGTTCAAGCAAAACGCCGTCGCCAAAGACGCAGAAGACTACATCACCATCTCCAAAGACGCCTAAAACCAAATTGCCGTCCCCTAAGAAGCCATCTCCAAACAAATAATATGGGAAAATTTTTTTGATTTAGGAATAAAAAATTGAATTTTTGATTTTAAAATTTTTTGTTAAAAGACCAAATTGTAAAATTTGCGGTTTTTGGTTAGGTGAATACTAATGTAAACCAAATTTTTTATAAAAAAATAATTTTAACGAATTTTAAAATCAAAAATTCAATTTTTTATTCCTAAATCAAAAAAATTTTCCCATATTATTTGTTTGGAGATGGCTTCTTAGAGGACGGCGATTTGGTTTTAGGCGTCTTTGTAGATGGTGATGTAGTCTTCTGCGTCTTTGGCGACGGCGTTTTGCTTGAACCCTTCTGATCATTTTTGAGTTTAGCCACCTCCTCCTTCAGAGTGTTCACCTCATTCTTTAATTGCTGTCCTTAACTCAAGCTCAAAAGCTCAGGACCGTCCAAACAAAACACCATCGCCAAAGACACAGAAGACCAAGTCGCCATCTCCGAAGACGCCACCACAAGAGGTGGTCAGATTTTACTTGGTTTTACAGGACAATGAAGATGATTGTACAACTTTAGCAATTAGTAAACGAACCAAATGAATCCAAATAATGATATCTAGCCAGAAAATACTTGATATTTTTTGTGTGGCATTATTGAATCTGATCTGATTGTTGAATTAATGATTATTTAAATTTTATATTCACTCGAGATTGATTTAATAAAATGATTTTGTTTGTTAAATTTGTTCATTTCTTTGTTGCTTTATGCATTTTATATTTCTAATAATTTTACTTTTCCTGAAATTATATTTATTCAAGCATTATGCTCCCATGATTTTTGCTAGGGAGCCTTATCTTTTACATCTCCTCGCGGGTAGTGAGACTATAACAGCTTTGGATGCGGCAAAAAGTTTACTTGACTCAGGATACAATGATCCTAATGAACGAGAACCGACTGATAATATTTCTCCTCTCCATGTGGCTGCAGCGTGGAATAATTTGGCTATGTGTCAATTGTTGATTCACTATGGAGCTGATGGTTTGTTGAGAATTTTAAATATATTTTATAGCCCTTAAAAATTATTAAAGTAGCCACTAAATATATTTTTAAGTAAACGCTCGCGACATTGATAAGCGCCGACCAGTGGATGTGGCTGATAAACAATGTAAACAATTTTTATTGCGTTTACACAAGAGGAGGAGAACAGATAAAAGTAAATTTCGCAAGGTCTTGTCCTATCTTTTTCGTCGAATTTGTGCAAGTTCATCAGCTGCGAATAAATCTGTACTTATTGACAGTCCTAGAAAGGACGTTGCGACGTCAAGAAAATCTTGTATAGCTAATATTCACACAGACGATCAAAAGGACAAAAGAATAAAGGTTTCTCATTTTTATATTTACGTTTAAAGACGTTTAATTAAATTTTTAAGTATCCTACTACCGTCTTTGTAAGACCGATGCCTTCAGCTCCTAGACGTACATCTAGCCTAATAAACGAGGAATTTCTTACTTCTGACAACACTGACGATGGGAAAGAGATCGAAAATAAAATAACTGAAAATGAAAATAAGCCCCAAGTAAATAAAAATGAGTTGAACGAAAATGATGAAAAAATCCAAGAACAAAAAAACAAAGAAGACGAGGAAGAAATTGAAGAAGGATTTGAAGTTTTAGATCCCGCAGAAGAAGCTGCAGTTAAAAAACAAATGGAGCAAGAAGAAGAGCTTTGTAAACAATTTTCTGCTTTAAAATTGGATGATTTGAAGGCTAGGCTGCGCTGTAAAAATTTTAAAACTGGACCAATGGATGCACGAAATAGGAAGGTTTATGAGGCAAAATTAGCGAAACTTGAGGTTAGGCCTTCAAAGGAAAATGGAGATCGAGTTTCTATAAGAAGTAAGGAAATTAAGTAATTTTATTGTTTTATTTTCTCTTATAGATTACTGCCCTGTACTTCAAAAATTCATTTTAAATGTTGAACGTGCAAATTCTGCTGATAATCAAAAAATTGGACAAGCGGAGGAACTCCTTTTACGAAATCACTTTACTCAATCTACTCCTAAACAAGAAGTAAAAAGTTCCTTTCTTAAATTTGATTTTAAATTTTAGGTCTCTTTCTTTTGTTATTTACTTATTGATCCATCTAAATTGACGCAGTCTGAAAATTTATCATTTCGTCAATTTATCTCCTCGATTTTTTACGTTGGAAAAGGAAAACGTTCTCGTCCATTGCAACATTTAATTCATGCAAGTAAATGCAGAAATTTTGCCAAAACAAGGCCTACTCAAGTATAAAAGATTTTTTTGTTAACTTTATTTTTTTAATTTTTAAGAGAACAGAAAAATTAAAACGAATTTTGCAATTATGGGATCGTGGAGAAGGCGTTATTTCTATGCATTTATTTCATAACATACACTCTGCTGAAGCTTTTATTCGTGAAGGAGCGATGATTGAAGCAATAGGTTTTAATACTTTAATATTTTTATATTAAAAATTCTTTTAAGGAACAAATAATTTAACAAATATTGTTCGCGGCACTTTCCCAGAAATTGCTTCAAATTGGACAAGGCAACAAATAACTGAATTTGGTTCTCTTCTTTTGCATAAGGCTTTTGTTATTTTTTTGAATGAGCGATGCCGACCAATTTTTGAGGCTGATATTAATGAAATGGATGGACGTTGGTGATACTATTAGAAGGTTAAATGAATCTCTTCTATTAAATAAGAAAACATTTCTTTTGTCAGTTTATCTCATCAATGTTTTTTCACTATTAATATATTATGCATAGTAGTGTAATCATTAATTAAATTCTATTTGTGCCTAATTATATATTTCAATCTGCTGCCATGCTTTATTTAAAAAATATAAAAATTTATTTATGATTGAATTTTTCTAAAATTTTGAAATGTTTATTAGAGGCATTTAAATATTTTTGTTAATTTTTATTTCTTTTAACTTTTCTTTGTAAGAATGTACACCGACAAATTTAATTGGGATTCTGCTCGACATTCTCGAAATAAACAATTAGAAGGTGTTTCTGACAAAAATTCATCAAATGGTCAAAAACAACGTCGCGAACTTGCTGATGTTATTGCTGAAATTGTTCGAGATTCTGGCGTTTTGGGCGTTAAGAAGGAAGTGGAAGAAGAAAGAAGTGCCTCTGCTGGATCGTCAAGCGTTCGTTTTTTGTAGTTGACTGGTAAAGAGTCAACTGGTGGCTTTAGAGCTTTTCTACTGATAAATTCCTTTTTTAATATTAAATTGAATTCATTTTTAGAGCCAAACTCTCCCTTCCACATCAGCCTCCGTAATTGTTGTTGACGATCCCTCAGAGTCAGATCCGTCAAATGTTTTGTTGCCAACTTTTGAACAGCTTCATGGCAATCTTTCTCCAGAATTTGCTCGTCGGAAGTTCTTTGATGACCTTCGACCATTGGATCGGCTCTTGGCACGAGTTGTACGCACTGGAGTGACGGTCCTGCATTTGGAGGTTGTTTGCACTCTGACGAGGTTCAGGCGTACTCTTCTATCTTTTATGAAAGGAAAACTGGTTATTTCAATTTTATATTTATGGATAAAATAAATTAATTTTTGAAGGTTCCAGTTGCCTACGATCGTGCCAAGCGCTTCTACCAAGTTAACGACTACGTTAGCAGTAAGTGAATAATAGAATTTACTGGCCTTTGACTGCGACAATAAACCATTAATTTGCGTACCTGTTTGAGCCACCATCATTGCACTGAGTCCGAACAGCATGGAACTGGAGCTCAAACTGGACGAGGATGAGGTATGTTCATGGGAGGAGAGAACTCTTCCAATTCTAAAATTGAGGCAATTTATACTGAACGAGGCATCCCAGCATATTCCAGGTTTATTTAAATTTTTTGCCCTTCTTAAAAACCTTCCAGGGAGTTCGACACCAGCGTCAACTTCGATGATTGTCCTCACATTTCTCGACTCCGTGACAATCCAACCTTGGCCGTTAAATTTGGCGTTCACATCAACAGCGACATCTCAGCTCTTCCTCAACTGCGTGCTAAACGTTTTACTTCAAAGCCTTCAGCCGAGGATTTGCGAAAAGACCAGACAAGACGTTTTGCAATGACTCATGTTGTTCGTGGGGCGGAATTGACTCGTGAAAATAAATGTTTTGAGGCTATTCAGGTTTTTAGACTTTAAAAATTTTTTAGAAAATTCTTTTTCAGTGTTTCAATAAAGCACTTAATATTGATGAGCAATGTGTAGATGCTTATGTTGGTCGTGGTGCTGCGTCTGCAGGTCTTCGTAACTTTTCTGCTTCGTTGCAAGATTTGGAAAAGGCAATTGAGCTTCAGCCAGAACATCGAAATGCAAATAAATATCAATTAGAAGTGTTGGTTGCATACGCAAAAGAGTTTGTTTTTATCTTTTTAAATATCTAAAAATCTTTTTCTTTAAAAAGTTTGGAAAAATCTGGAAATATTCGAGAAGCCGAAGAGAAATTTACTCGAGTTTTGGAACTTCAACCTGGGCATTTTCATGCTGTAGATTTTTTTCAAAGAATGAATATTTCTGATAATTCAAGAAAGAGGCCTTCTGATGTTATAGAACTTGATGAAGACGAAGAGGATTTGAAAAAAGGAAAAACAAATGGATTTAACAATAATAAAAATGAGAGTGAAGATAAGAATAAAAAGGCTGATTCTTCAATGAGCGAGGAGGAGGCAAAACAAAATCGTATAAAATTGAAAGAAATGGAAGAATTTATAAGAAAATTGAAAAGCAGAAAATGATTAGAAAAATTTGGAGTCTTTTTTGATTATTACATATTTAAATGTAAGGATAATTTTTATTTTTCAGAGAGTAAAATTTTCAGGGGTCGTCCAGAAAAACTAACTTTTCAGTGGGGCAAGATTAAAATTTTTAATCTTTTCCTCTGTAATTTATATAAAGAATTATTGACTAAATTCAAACATTCATAATTTGACCGTTAAAATATTTGAAAATGATTATCTCTCTTTACTACTTTTTCCGCTTATTATTTTTGATAATTTTCATTTCTCTGTTAATTTACGCAATTAATATAAAATGTTTTGTTGTTTTCTATGTTGTTTATTATTTAAATAGTTTTGTTATATTCAGTTAATATCTAAAATTATTAAAATTAATTTATTTTACAAAAATTAGATGCTCTACACAAATTCTATCGATATTGATGTCAATAGGGGTTTATGCATTCATTCAATTTCGCAGGTTTTTTTTCTTTTTTTAACGTTTCGGGTGTTAGGTATCTGTTTTTGTTAGCTGTTATGGGACCCTTTGGATGAAGATTGGGAAAAGGATTCAAAAAAGCTTTACCGCTTGGGAAAATATCTTTAATAAAATCAAAACATTTCTCGAAATTTATATATCGTTAAGCTTGTTGATATTACATTGCAATCACTTCTCTATCAACGACAAATCATTCCAGAACCAGTTTTAACTCTTTCAAAAGGTGATTCTTATATATCTCAACAATTTAGAAATGTTTATGAAAAGGTTTTTTTAAAAGATAATTTTAAATAAAAGTTTGATAAATTTAAAGGTTACTCAAATTTTACAAAAAACTTTTCGTTCACCAAATGCCAAACTTATAAGCGAATTTATTATTTTATTGGGAAGTGCTCCTTATTCACCTAAAGAAATATATAGAATTAAATGTAGAAATGATGAGCATGAAATAGAGAAGATTGATATTCAAGAAAATAATGGAGAGAAGAAAGAGGAAGTCAATTGTTGTGAGGAGTTGTCGGCAAAGTTTGAGCTTTTTTGTAATAAAATTAAAAATTGTATTGAAAACCGGGAATGTTCCTTTATTCTTGGGAATCTCTTAAGGGTTACTAGCCATGTCTTTCTGTGTTTTTAGCTTTTAGCCCTTTTAATTTTCTGTCAAAAATTTTCAATGTTTTTAACCACAATTTCTATCATTTTAGAGAGAAAAGGCTAATATTTTCTGCTATAGCTTTGAGCAAAACAGCTGTGGAACATTTTGAAAATTGTCCAATACCAGGAAAAACTGACAAAGTTTTTATGTTTATCAAAACAACAGATAAATTGCAAACTTGGGCAGACGGATTAAATGAAGATTTGAGGTTTTGTTTGAAAATATTTTTAAAATCATTATTTTTTAAATAGTTTTAAATTGCCTGAAAATATTCCAAGGAAACGACAAATTCGTCAATTAAGAATAAAAGGTATTTTTGAATTATTCTAAAGTTAGGGGACAAATTTGGGGGGGGGGGGGGGTAGGACATAATTTTATAAAATTAAAAAATTTTTATTTTAAATTAAAAATTTAAAGTAAAATCACCATATAACAAAGAAATAAAAGAAAATGAAAAAGAGGAAATAGATGAGAATTTAATAAGTTATTGGTACAGAATTGAGCCTTTTTTTACTAATTTAAGTTGAAATGTTTTTTAAACAATTTTTGTCTTTCATTTTTGAATTTTTTAAAGTTATTTTTGAAATTTTTTTAAAACTAAAATTTAACCAGGAGAAGCCCTTATTTTTAGAAATTGATATTCCTTGAATTTATTTTCCGCTTTTTTACATTTTAGTTTTCAATCTTTTTATTTCTTAATAAAATTTTTGAAATTTTTTAAAATGTTTTAAAAAATTATAATTTGATCACAGGGAATCTTATCACATTTATTTACATGATGTTTGGTGTTTTCAACGAATTTCACTTGTATGAGTTTTCATATGCCTATGAAGATTACCGGACTGAAAAGAAATTTAAATTAAACATTTTATAATTTTTTAAACCTGAGAGAATCTCATAGCGCAAATAGCACAAGAATAAGGTTTTTGGCCTGAAAATTTGTTTAAAAAATTAATTTTGAATTAGAATATTGTTGTTTAGATATCTGCGGGGGTATTAAGATTTAAAAAAAGTAATAATTTAATACACTCAAAACTCACTATTGGATACCTTTTGGATTGAAAAAATTTGTTCCTTAAAGCGAGGAGTGCCTTAAATTAATGGTATCGCTTAGGCAAACCCCCTCCCCTACTCATGTCAGTTTTAAAATAAGCAGGCCATTTATCGAGTTATCTAATATTGGGGTCATTTTATAATATTGGCCCAACAAAAACTATTTTCAAAATATTAAAATTACGCGAATATTTTCCCCCAACCATTTATTTTTTAAATAATTAACCTGTGTGTGTTCTTAAATGTTTTGTTAATGTTGAACTGTCAGTAAAAGCTTTTTCGCAATGAGGGCAGGGATAAGGTCTTTCTCCAGTATGTGTTCTAAAATAATTTTAAAATAATTTTTAATTTTATTTTTTTCTTACCTTTTATGCGTAACTAAGGAAGAACTAAAAATAAAAAAAAATTAATTTTAATTAAAAAAATAAATTAAAACCTTTGAGAAAATGGTCGATAACAGACTGGACAGCTAAACGGCTTCTCACCTGTATGTACTCTTCTGTGAGCTGTTAAATTCGCAGCTTGTGAAAAATGTTTACCGCAAATCTGTAAAAAAATTTTTGAAGGTGTTAAATAAACAAAAATTAATTGTTTGAGTCGGAAGTAAAAGGAGAGAGACAAAAAAGCCCACCCACAAGCCCCGGACTTTAATGATTATTTTTGGGAATAAAAATAAAAATTAAATTAATTTACAAAGAAAACCTCCCACTTACCGGACAAATAAAAGGCCTTTCACCAACATGATTTTTCATATGTGCCTTTAAAGTACTTTTTCTACAGTACTGTCTTCCACAAATATTACAAACATAAAATTTATTTTTAGGAGAAGAAGAAATAAATTTTTTTGTTGTTTGTATTTCTTTTTTAATATTTTTTAATTTTTTTGATGAACGAAAAGGTTTTTCAGGAGAATATTGTTGTTGTTGTGTTTTTATTAAACTGTTGGGAAGTTGTTGTGAGGATGTTTGAGAAATCTTTTGAAAATTTTTTTTAATTTTTTAAACTTAAAAAAATAGGTACTTTTCCATTATTTGACCGCAAACGAGTGCCAGTCGAACTTGATCGGCTATAATTTTAATGGGTGATCAACCTGAACCCTGAAGTTGGAAAAAAGATATCGCTTATCGAGGGCTTTCGAATGATATAAAATTCATTTGTATTGGATCAAGTATCGAAAATTTATAGCTGATCAAATTCGGCTGGCACTCAGTTTGCAGACGAATAACGGAAAAGTACCAAAAAAAATTTTAAACCTGTAAACAATTTGTGGATGTTCCAATTAAAGAATTTGTTGTTTGTTTTTGACAATTAATTCCAAAATTATTATTTATTTGGGAATTATTGCTAGTAAGACAATCAATCATTGGATGATTATTGTTGTTGTTATGGTGTTGTTGAGAAAATTGAGGAATTAAGTTGTGATTACCTCCACTTCCTCCCATATGCCAATTCTACAAAAAAAAAAGTTTTTAATTCGAAAAAAATATTTAATTTTTGGATTTTTAAATTATTTTCCTTTAAAAGTAATAAACCAAAAAGGAATTCAATTAAAAACAACCAAATTTCTCCAAATTTACTATTTAAAATCTAAATAGATATACAAGAGTGCGGAAAACTAGTATTTGCTGGAATTTTGTACGAGTTTTTTAGAATTTTGTAGGGGACAGGATCCCGTGGGATTAATCCGCAAAATCCCGATAATCCTGTTCATCGTTTAAAAGACGGAATTTCGGGACGGGATCCCGCAAAATCCCGTCCAGGATCCTGTCCCGTCCGAACTTTAAAAAAATTTTAACATTCAAAACGCTAATTCGATTTACTGTGTTATTTTGGGGGATTTTTTAATAAAAAAAAACAATTTTCTGGATTTTTAAATAAAAAAATTAATAAATTACATAAGCCGCCGACCCTCCAATAGAATTAGCTGTACCAATTTCGAGTGTTGCATCAACTCTCAAATATAAATCTCCCCCAGTTCTTCCACCATTATTTCCTCCACTCCAATCAACAACTGGCTGGGTAAAGTTAGAATAACAATTTAAATTGTTTGGATAATTTTGTGGATGGTGAAAGGTTGTTGCCAGTTGGACAGAACGTTGGTAGGGAATAATTGAAGTGTGTAAACTAAAATTGACGGAAGATTTTTGAAGGAAGAAATATAATGAATTCTAATACAGTTTAATTTACTATAAGATAAACTTATCCAAATTTAGAAACGTATCTTTAAAAAAAGGAGTATCCACAGCAGGGCTGGGCTTATTTCGCATTTCGTTTTTTATTTTTAGATTTCGCCCAGCCCTGATCCACAGCCCGCCGTATTTTAAAAAGTGGAAGACGGGAGAAAGGGAAACAAGATAGAAAGAAGCAAAAGGACAAGAAATGGAATTATGCGGAAGGGAAAGAGATCCCATCCTTGGTATCTACTTTTGGGAGTATCTTTTAGTGAGACCCGACTTTTTCATTTGCCAATAAATTCCTAGATTTCAAAGAGGTAAACAATATCCTCAATAAATTATTTTAAATACCTACCCAATATTCGCATTATGTTCAAGTTGATAAAGTCCATTACAAGCAGCAAGTTGTAATTGTTGTTGAGTAGAAGGGTCTGCTGAATAATTAGTAGCAGTACAATCATCAAAATGCCCTCGATTTTGTTGAGTAAAATGATGAAATGGTGTTGCTGTGTTGTAATGACACAAATAATCTGTAAAAGAAATTTGTTATTCTTATTTGCTTTGTTTAGTAAAGTCCTGTCAGAAGAAAACAAATAATTGCCTCGAGTTATGTCTAATTGTCAACAAGACTCTTGTGTCTTTACATTTATTTTCAGACTCAACGAAAACCTAAACCTTTAGGCTTGCTTGACACTAGAGTCTCGGAGACTTAGCATCGAAACGCCTTTTCCTATGCCATAACTTTTTTTATTTCGATCATTTCCAGATAATTCCTTTATCATTTAGAATCCTTATTTGTTTTTATTCTTTTTATTAACTTTATGGAAGGATCCGATCATTTCTTAGAAAGTTATACCCGGCTAAGTATGTTAAATCACGATTATTCGCAGTTAACGGCTTGTAACTTTTTGAAAGACGGTATAAACTAAACAATTTTTCGGGGAAAATAACCAGTACATCCAGAGCTTTTAATTAATGAAAAAATTATTTGGATTGATCTAAAAACAAAAAAGTTATGTCCCAAAAACTGCCGTTTTTATGCCATTTTTTAAGACTCTTACGTTACCTGGTAGATTTTAGCCTAAACCTTTTGAAGCCTAAACCTTTAGGTTTTTAACCATTTGAGTCTCAATACGCCCCCAAATTTTCTTTTTATTTCTAGGGTTTTTTATCGTTTGTTCTTCTTAATTAGTGTATAAAGATGATCTTGGACTGATATTCTGGTATTAGAAATCTCATAAATTAAAGATTCTTGATATCCATAACGGGTGAATTTTTTCTGAGAAACTATTTGTTTTTCAAAAATGTAGTGTTTTCGAAAATACATATACCGCTTTGTTGCTCAAAATGGCATGTTTTATTCGAATAAAAATTAGAAGAATGTTGTTGTTGTTGGTCTGTTAAAGAATTGAAAGAGGAGGAATTCCTTGAATTTAAAGGAATCCCAGCTGCAGCAACTGCATAGGCTATAGCTGTTGTTGATGGTGAATTATTATTGTTAGAAGTGGAAGAAGAAGAAGAATTGTTGTTCATGGCTTCTAGGCAGCCTCAAAATATTTTTTTGAGTTTAACAATTAAAACAATTAAAAGGGCTTTAAAAGTAAAAGAGAATCCTTAAATCGAAAACCTTAAACCTAAAAAGCATTTAGGTATACTTAATTAAGAATATTTTTAGTTAAATTATAGGCAGCCTCAAAATCTACATTTCTACTTAACCTCCAACATTAAAATTATTTTTAAAAAATATTTTAAATATTAATTCCCCTTCTAATTTACATATCGTAACATTATAAAAGCTTACATAATAAGCCACTCCCATTAACGTTAGTGGAGGCAAAAGACAAAGAGATTAGTAAGGATTTAATTTAAATTTTTAAAAATATTTCTTGATTAAAATTAAAAATAAATTTTTAAATTTATAAATAATTGATTCAGAAACAAAATAAGAACAAATATTTTTGAACAAAATTCCTTTTTTAACAAAATTTTTTTATTCCTTTAAAATTTACTTTTTTCTGCTAATTTCAAGGAATTTTGCATGTTTTCAAAAAATTTCTTCCGCAAAATTAATAATTTATCTAAAATTTTCAAGTATTTTTTATCAAAAATCCTTCAATTTCCCTCTACTATTCAAAACATATTTTTATAAAATACAGTATAGAAAGGAAACAAAATTTAGAGGATTAACAGATATTTAAACCTTTTCTCCCTTCCCTTTTTTAAGGCCACAAAATTATTGGGAAGACTCTACAAAATATATAATTATTAAAAACGTTTTCCACCTCCTCCCCCTTGCAATCGTCAAAAAAGGATTAGAAACAATATAAACTGCCATCTTTGGATAAATAAAAAAAATTTTTCCTTTAAACAAATATACACACCTGATGCTTATTGTCAGAATTTTTATTTTTAGGGGGGAAAATAATCAAGAGGAGAAAAATTTAAGTGTTTAAATAATTTTATTAAAATATACAAAATAATTTAAAATTGAAAAATTTTCAAATATTACTGTCATCAATCCCAACAACTCTAGCTTTGTCTCCATTTCTCAGTAAAAAGCCTTCCAAAACCAATTGTTTAATTGCATCTTCATAACATTCTCGATCTAATGTCTTTAAATTTTATAAATATTAAAGAGCGTAAAAAAATTTAAAAACTTTAATTTTATAAAAATATATTTACAGTCGAGAACTAAGTTTTAGATATTACCAAAATTAGATTCTTCTTAATAAATGGACTTTGAAATTGGGTATCCAATGGGGGAGAAGAGTTGCCTAAACCGCTACACCTTCCCCCTTTAAAATACATCTCACAAGATATAAAAATATTTAATGTAAGTCCCAAATTCAGGGTTACCTACAAGGGAGATAAACTGTAAATAAATTTCAAAAAAAATTTAAGATTCATCTCTCTACCTTATCATTAATTCGCATATCCTTAAAAAGTTTTCCAAGAGAAAAGTTTCCTCTTTTGCCTTCCAATTCTTGTCTAATTTGTTCTGCAAGAACTCCAACAAATTGTTTGTGTTTTTCTGAATATCCAGTGGCAATTATATTTACTTCTACACAGCCAGTATCTGGATTGACAGCTGATTGTCGAAGTGCTTCACGTTGAAGTCTAACAAAAATTAATTTTCTTTTGGTCATTAACAAGAAAAAAACTTACTCATATGCCATTTCCACATCCTCTTCACTAACTTCATTACTTAAACGCATTTTTGCAAAAGCTTCAGAAAGTCGAATTAAAGCTTCTAATTGTCTTGGATATGCCGATATTTGCTTGACTTTTTTGCCCAAAGAACGCATAAATTGATATTTTTGAACAAGTAATTGGCCAGCTTTTTCGCTAATTACAGGACAGATATTAGCTTTTGCATAGGCAATATAATCTCGAAGAAAGGCCATATCAACACGTTGTTGCTGTTCTGCTTCGGTGTCAGCTACCAAGTAGAAGTTGACCTTTTTTGATAGAAAAAATAAATTTTGGATTAAAAAAGAGACAAAAGTCCAGAATTAACTAGATAGATAAAAAAAATTGGAGAGATAATCAAAAATTAACGTAGCTTGAGCGAAAACAAATCGTTAAAATTTAAAAAATTTTAGACATAAGACAAATCCAAATAATTGTCTAAAGTTTCCCCCGTGTCGACGCAGAAGACCCACAGACAAAAGACCTAAAACCATTTTTCTTAAGTTTATTCTATTGTTTTGTGCTTTCATTTCGGTTCATTACCTATGGCCTTTTGGGGTTTTTGTCTGTGTTACTAGTGCAGAACCCAGCGACCGCTGACTCCCTGCATGACGCGTGCATCTCTGTCTGTGGGTCTTCTGTCATTACGCCACGTTTCCCTAGAAAGATACCTCGATATATCACAGCATATTCTATCGTAAGGTTTTATAACTAGACTTATGAAAGTTCCATGTTGTTTTAGTACCCTTCCCAAGTTTAACATAAGGACAAACCCGAAAATATTCAATTAATAATTATTCAATTATTTTTTTTTCAAAATCCATACCAAATGTTTAGCCAAACGTCTATCATATTCTTCATCTTGCGGATCAAGTACCAAAAAAATTAAATCAAAACGAGATAAAAGAGTTGGAGGTAAATGTACATTTTCAACAATATTTTTTCTTTTATTCCATTGCGAATCTACTGGATTTGCTGCTGCTAAGATTGATGTTCTAGCATTTAATTGACAAATAATTCCAGCTTTAGCAATTGAAAGTGTTTGTTGCTCCATTACTTCGTGAAGAATACTTCTTGTGCTATCATTCATTTTATCAAATTCATCAATACAACAAACTCCATTATCTGCTAATACTAAAGCACCAGTTTGTAAAACAACTGAACGAGAATCTGGATCTCTAGTGATTGATGCACTTAAACCAACAGCAGAAGAACCCTTTTTAAAAAAATATTTCATTTAAAAAATAATTTTTAGACAGATTATTTGGGGGCAATGATCTGTCACATTTAATTAGTCAACCAATTTCATACCCTCAAAATTACCCAAAAATCAAAATTTAAATTCTTTTTTAAACCTTTTCAGAAGTAAATTGTGTCCGTGAGGGGGAAAATTATGCTAAATTTTGGGACTTTGAAAGGCCATATCTTGGCCAGATCAAAAAACGGGCAAAAACGGCTCAAAATCCTAGCAAGAAAGGGCACATTCTCTATTGAATAAGCCCGGTCTCGACCGTTTTTAGGTCGGACACCTCGCAACCCTTCCTTGTTAATTAGTACCAATTTGTACCCTCAAAATTATCAAAAATCAAAATTTTAATCTTAAACCTTTCCAGAAGTAAATTGTGCCCGTGGAACAAGATGATAAACATATTGGAGAAGTTGTGATTTAGCTGTTCCAGGATCACCACAAAGCAAAATATTTATATCACTGCGAACTTTAATACGTCTATCCCCAACAGTTTCTTCTTCTTCAATTTCTTCTCCGTGTTTCTGTTCATCCCATTTTCGAGAACCACCAAATAAAAGACAAAGAATTCCTTTTTTAATTTCTTCGTGTCCAAAAATATTTGGGGCTGAAAATTTAAAAAAATATTTAATCAAAGAACCTTAAATTATGAAAAACTAACCAACAGCTTTAGTTAAACGGTCAATAATATCATCACATTTTGATAAAGTTAAAACTTGTTGAATACGCTCTTCTGTCATGAACAACTTGAAAAAAAGGAAAAATATAGTAAAAAATTGTTACTAAATAGTCTCCCCTTATCAATTCTCCAAAATACAAATTAAAAAATATGTTAATTGTGGTGACTGAATAAATTTTGAGGGAATAAGGTTGAGAATTAGGGTTGGGGCCCAATTCAGTCCAAAAGATCGAATCGGGCATTGAATTTTGGCCCGAAAAAGACTCGGTCGGGCCGGCCCGATAAAAATAAGACCCGAAAAAATGACGCGAACGAAGGCCCTACTCGAAAACCGCAACTTTATTGAGGGTGTTTCCCAAAAATTGAAAGGAATTGCTTTTGATTTATCGATAAGGATAACTTAAATTATTAGAAAATACTTTTTCCTACAATACTAACAAAGTATTAAAAAAATAAAAAAACTTATCCATCAGTTGGCTCATGTAGTCTGTCTTGACTAAGTTTTCGAAAATGAATAACATCAATGCTCGTTCGATAAATTGAATGAACTGTTCGTTGCAATGGATTAACACGAATTGGAGTAGCTCTATATATTCCAGTTACAGAACAGCGATCGCCGGGATGAACACTTTCAACAAGAGAGCCGTGAACAAAAAGAGTGACAGAATGTTGGGTCTGTCCGGCTGGCATATCTCCTTAAAAATAATTTTAAAAATATTTTTTAAAATTAAAAAACCTGGAATTTCTTGAAGTTTAACAACTTGTTTGTCAATAAAAAATGATCGATTATGAATTAATTGAAAGCTATAAGCATCATGACAATTACTACATTTGACTGGCTCTTCAATACGTCCACAATCGACTTCGCTTACAACCTAAAGGTTTTAACAATCAATAAATTTATAATCCAATATGGGGAAGAAGGCTTGGAAATGCGGGATAAGATAACCTAAGTTGCAGAAATAAAAGTCGGTGAAGTAAACCAGTTCTCGAGTAAAAGAGCTCCACACTTATATTAACGTTAAGACAATTTTCAAAGATATAATTTTAATTTAATACCGGAGCATTGCAAAGAGCACATTGAAAATAACCAGTTTTCATTTCAGGAATAATTGGTGAAATTCGTGTAACCATTCCACAAATTGTAACTAATTGACCGACATCTTTAAGAATAAATTAAAAAATTTATTTTTTAAAACAAAATAACCTTGAGGGTTTAAATCCCGCATAGTTTTTGTCTGTTCAGCATTGTAAGGACGGATCTCAATAATTGAAGGCAATTTCTTGTTGTATGTCATTTCAAAAATTTCATCAATTGTGGCATCCAAATAGGTAAGAACTTCCTTTAAAAAATTTTATTTAAAATTTTTAAGAAAATAAAATTTACATCAGGATATGAAATAATAATTTTGTATAAATGCTCATTAAATTGCCGAACATGAGCCAAATTAAGATTTAAAATTGGAATTTCACTAGCAAAGATTCCTTTAAGTTTTTCCATATAATAAGGCAAAGTGGAATCAACAGGTGCGACATTTCCACTTTCCATCTATAAAAATTTTTTTAATTCAAAAAAAATTATTTCTTCAAAAAAAACCTCCACAGCATTCTCATCATCGTCAAGTTGTTGAGTAGTAAAATTGGTTATAAAATTACGAAATTCTTCTTGCATTTCCATAACACATACACGAGTTCCCCAAATGTATAAACGAGCATTTGGCCTGTCCTCAATATTTTCTTTGTTTGTTTGATCAATGCTTTCACTTTAGAAAAATTTTTTGTAAAAAATTTTTGTAAAAATTCCAAGAAAACAAACTTTAATATATCATCATCAGCAGCAATAGAAATAGTTCTATCCTGTCTATGTTGAGTTGTTGTTACCAAATCTGCTCGTTTCCTAGCAGATTTATTTGGAGTTGCAATTGTAGATGCACTAATTGCAGAAACTCCGCTTTCCGAAGCGGGATACCCAACACTTAAACCATTTAAATCATCTAAATATTTTAATCAAACAAATTATTTTAAAATAAAACCGCTCTCGCGACTCGGTGATCGATTATTTCCCAAAACTTGTTCTTCATATTCACTTAAAGGAACTAATGGAGTGTCTCCACGTTCAGAATCTATTGGATCTCCAGGCGGATCATCAGAAGACATTTTTGTAAATTGCTAGAGATTAACTAGAAAAATAAATAAAAAATTAAAAAAAAGAAAATTTAGTTGAAAAAATCAAAAATTAACAAATAAAAGCGCGCAATAAATTATTGACTTAAATTTAAAATATTAAAATAGAGGCAATTGTCAAAACGTTATTTTAATATGACATTTCGTCCAAAATTAAAAAGCGAGAGAGTATGGTTAGAGAAAAAAAGAAAGAAAGATAGAAAGAAATGTGGAGACGGAAAGTTTTTGTAAAATTGTAAAAATGTTTTCGATTGATTGGATATTGGATATCTAGTATATCCTTTCTTCATTTTTCTTTAATCTTTATTGACATGCCAATATTATCTTCTTCTTCAAACACTCGAAAATATTCAGAACAAAGCTTGGCTAATTTCAACAGAGCTCAATTCTTCTTTAATCCTTCACATATTCAACCGCAAACTGATCGTCGTTGTCTTCAACGTCTTCATATAGAAAATTCATTTGCAAAATTAAATAGTTTTGTTATTTTTTGTAAGTTTAAATATTTTTTAAATTTTTAAAATTTTTTTCTTTTTTTTAACAGCTTGTGGAGAAGAAAAATTGCCAGCAGTTTTCAAAGAATTTTATGACGAATTAATTTATTTTGAAATAGATCCAGCACATTCATATCAACTTGTAATTAATTCTCTTACTTATTTTTATTCAAAGTATTTTTTTATTTTTATTTTTTAAAAAATTTTTTCAAAAAGAATAACTTGGGCAACTTCTGTACAAAAATGTGTTTTTGAATTTATTTGTGAATTTCTCGGAGAATTTCATTCCCATCTGGACAAAAAACATCTTATTGAATTAGAATTGGTTTGTTTGTTGGAACTTTTTATGATTCGATATGAATACAAAAATGGAAACGGAAATAACGTAAGATTTTTTTTATTTTTGTGGTTAATTTTTAAATTTTTTAGATTTTTAACATCTTGGTTCAAATTCGCAAAACTTCTAAAGGGGCTGATTGTCATCTTTCTGGTTTTGTAAACAATGTTATAATTAATCAGTAAGTTTTATAAAAATTTTGGGAATTTTTTTCATATTTTAGTTTTTACGCCGCCCACTAGTAAGTCCAATGCGTTTTGATTTGACCTTTATCTTTGTGTTTATTTCCCTTTTTCACCTCTTTCCATTTCTTCTCTTAATATTTTTTATTTTTAAAATTTTTAGTTTCGGCTACACTCTAGAACCTTTATTACGTAATATTTGTGATCGACTTAACCTTCAAGTTAAATTATATCGCTCTTCTGATTCACTTCAAAATATTTCAACAAAACGAAAAAGTTCAATGACTAGTTCAAATCAAGAATCTCATACTTCCTCAATTGAACCGAATAATTCGTTTAGTGAAGACGAAGAATTGAATGAAGAAGAGGGAAATTCTGAGGATGAAATATCAAAATCAATTGGTTAGTTAGTTTTTGATTTTGAGGGTTTTACAGAAATAAACTGGTTTTTCGTATTTTATTAATATTTGGTTTTCAAATCTTTCGTTGAACCTCAAGTGAAAAATATTAGATATCGATGGCGTAGTCAGGGGGCCGATTTCAGGAGGGCTAAAATTGGGCGTGTGTCACAATTTTGGCGTTCACCCCTGGCTACGCCCTTGTTAGATATAGTATAATTTTCTCTTCCTCTTGCCTCTCTAAAAATTTACCTTTGTTATTTTTCTCTTTTCAGAAAAGAAAAGGTCCAAGTCTCATGATAAAATTAATAAATTAGCAAGCAAAAAATTGAAGACGACTGACAAGGTTTTTCTTTTTTTTAATTTGAATAAATAATTTATTTTAAGTTAAAAATTCGGAAGAAAGCTTCAAGGGTGAATTTTAATTTTTAAATTAATTTTTAAATAAATTTTAAGGGTCGTCGACGTTATTGACTTTGGAAATGCTCTTTTGACACTTTTTGTAAATTTGGTTTTAATTGACTTTTAAATTTGTAAAAATACTCAATTTAAGTTTAAGACACTAAAAAGCATAATTTCTCTCTTTAAATATTCTTTTCCTCTTTTAATTTTATTTTACCTTAGGTGGTTTCTTTAAAAAATGTTGCCATTTTTACCTGTGAAAATTTTTTTAACCATTTTTTAACTAGTCATTGGATTTTTAAATAAAAAATGGAAAAAAATTTTTTTAGAAAAGCCTTTGGAAACCACTTAAAAATATATTTCCATCCAAATTTATTTTTTAATTTCCTTTTCCAGCTTTGAATATTTTAAATAAACTAGTCTTTTAATTGTTAATTTAAAAACCTCTAAATTTAATTTATTTTACTCATATTAATCTGTAAAAATATAAATAAATATGTAATTTTTTGTGTTTAAATTTAATTATTTTTGTTTTTTAACAATTTAATAATATTTTTAAATTTAAATACTTTTTTAAATGTTTTTAAAAGAATGTTCAGAAAACCTAAAATTAAAGCAAATTTGAGAAAGAAAACGTTGGAAGAAGATTTCAATTTAACCAGCATTGAGGATGAGCAAAAGGAAATTGAGTTTGTTTTTTTTTATTTTAATTTTATTGGTTCCTATATTTTTTGTTTTCATGTATAAGAAAGAATCTAACAAGGGAACCTTCCAAACTGTGACTAAAAATTGCATAAAAATTATACCATCATGTAGATTATTGTCTATAGCCTATTCCCATACCTGGCTTTTCTTCAACTGATCCCCAATTTCGAAAAGTTATAGGGCTTCAAAGTTTTAGACTTTGAGCGGCCCTTGTAAGATGCGCATAGAAAGCTTTTTAGATCAGAGCAGACATATTTTCTTATTTTTTAGTTTACATTTTAAGAGGAGAGATACTTTTCAAGTCCATTTTGTGGAATAAATAAAAAATATTTTTTTAATAAAGATCCAGAATTCGAGATATTCAAGAAGCACAAAGAGTACGACAACGCCGTAATGGAATGGATGCAGTTGAATGTGCTGTAGGTAGAGAATTGGCTAAAGAATTTGCAAGATTGGATGAGGATCCATTTAGAATGAGTGGAGGGGCAATGCTTCGATTAACTGGTTTGTTATTAAATTTTTTGAGGCAAATTTTAGATATTTTTGATGTAACGATCCTTCTCCGAGGATTTTTTATTTAACAAAATGAGCATTTTATAAGGGTAAAATGTCAAGAAAATATCTATATAATTTTTAAAATTTCTTTTTATTAAAATTTAGATACTCAAAGAGCAGCCTTAAATGCAGCAGATATTGAAGCTGATATAAAAGAACAATTTAAAAAAGAAACACTTTTACGTGATGAACATGAAGAAATGCGTCGATATGTTGAAGCGAGGCTAAAACGTCAACATACTTTGGATGATTCAGCAGAAGATAGTAATAATAAACGAGCAAAACTTTTGTCTCCGGAAGAGGAAATTTTATTTAAGGTTGGGAATTATTTTTAGTTAGGATTATTTTTAGTTTTACTATGCGGGGAATATGTAATATTTACACATCTGTGGGAGTGCGGGTTGAATTTTTAGCTTTTATAAAAGTCTAATGAAAATTTTACTTATCCATAATAATTTCACATGGACGGGGAAGTCGAATTTAAAAAAAGTTTTTTTAACTTTTTCCATATTTAGCTTCCTTCTTCGCTTCCACGTGGACGAAAATTAAACTCTATTTATTTTATAGGCTGCTGAACGTGTAAAAAATTGTTCGAGTACAAAAAAAGAAGAGCTTTTATCTAATCAAATGCTTGTTGGAATACCAGAAGTCGATTTGGGGATAGAGTAAAATTTAAAAATGAATTTTTATTTTTTTCAATGATTTTAATTATTTAGAGTTCGTATGAGCAATATTGTGGCAACAGAACAAAAGAAAGCGGAATTACTCAAAAAGGGAATAATACCCCGTCCAGTGGCGGATAGTTGGAAAACATGAAAATAAACGTATAAAATACTTTTATTACCTATTTTGTAATTTAAAATGTTCATTAAAATTTAAATTTCTTCCCGAAGAGAGGAGGGTGTTGTTAGGGAGATTTGACATGATTTGAGGAAATTAAATTTTGGGGAGCAATCCAAAAAAATTTTTTTAAAGAAAAAATAAATTTTTATTTTAAATATACATAAAAAATTAAATATGAAGTGGATGGATAAAAAAATATTTTCAAACAGCTAATTAATATTTTATGAAAGGAAAACACTAAATAATGAGTGTTTCATTTATTTTTGTTGCATTCAAAATAAGGCAAGATTTTTGGTTTCAATAGAGGTTGAGGGAGTGAATAACTTCACAGAAAATGGCATTTCTCTATGCAAATGTTTTGGTAGCATTTTTTGGTTGTAATGAAAATTGGCGGTGTGAAACTTTTTGGGTATCAGAAATGTCATGAAAAAAATCCTTTTCTTTAACCAAAAATATTTTAAATTTTCACGACAAACTGACAGCATAAAAAAGTTTAGGAATATTTTAATTAAAGTAGTTAAATTGGCTAGAGATTTTTATGCCCCAACAATTACCATCAACTGAGCAATTGAGTTTCACATGCTGGGTCCACCATGTTTTCGTGGTCCGTCTGGTCTTTTAACATTTGAAGTGTTTCACTGTCCAAATGCAAATCTTGTAGATCCTACAAAAAAAATTTTTTTTGAATTGAATGCGAGTTTTTAAAGAAAATGGGGTGCTTTTATTAATACTTCCGCCCTTCCAGCCTTATTTTAAAAAAAATTTCCATTAAAATTAAAAAAACCTGAAAACAATCAACGTCAAGAGAACCATCTGTACCAGTCACACAAATATTTGGAACTTCCATTCCATCAGGGCTAGCTGAAAAATGTCGATGTTGTGACCACTGATTATTATTATTTAATTGTCCTTGCATCATCTTTCCTCCAGGAATTCCAGCTAATGGATGGTAATTTTCCATTGAAGAGGAGGAAGATAAAGTTGTTGGACTTGTTGGGGCAGATCTACTTTGTGATAATAAATTTGTTAAAGGTGTTGTTAATTGTTGTTGAAGTGTATTATTGTTGTTATTATTTGTTATTATATTTTGGCTAAAGTATGGAGGTGGTGGAGATATTTTTGTGTTATACTAAAAAGTTTAAATTATAAATTTAATTTAAAAAGGAGGAAAAAGTTTTTCCAAAACGAATTTGATTCGCGTAAATATATTAATCTCCAATCTAACTGGAAAGACAGAAAGGGAATATCAGGATTATGCCGACACAATATCGTATTCATAATTTTCAGAAAACGGAATTTATTTTAACAAAAATATGGGCGTTTAGAATTTTGTCATTGTTTTCCTAATTCTCTCAAAAATTTTTTTTGTCCCTTTCCCTATGATTTTTTTATTTATTCCCATATTTCCCTTCACAAATTTAATCCAGGTTCTCTTTTTTAAATTTATAGTAAGAAGCTTTTCTTTGGAAAACCAGAAAATAAAATTTAAAAATAGTATTAAAATACCAATTGCTGCTGTTGTTGTTGAAACCCAACTCTATTGTTTTCAAGCATTATTAATTGTTGTTGTTGATCATTATTTCCTATTTTTGGTTTTGTAACAAAATTATTATTATTATTATTTAATTGTTGTAAAAAAATAATTTGTTGGGAGGCAGGAGAACCACTATTATTATTCATTATAAAATTTTGTTGAGAAGAGCAAGAAGCAATAGGTGATGAGCATGAAGGTGATGAGCCAATTTGTTGTATTGGTAGGCTAACTGAAGGTAAAGGAGGAATTGTTGTTGGATTGGCAGGTATATTAAATATTTGATTTTGAGGTAAATTAGGTTGTTGCTGTTGGTGTCGATTTTGGTGTTGATTAATTGAATCTTTAAAAAGAGAAAATTAAAAGTTGGATGGGTATAAAAAGATAAAAATCCCAAGGCGTTAGTTCAATTTTTCATAATTTTTATAATTGAAAGTTTTTTGATTAATCTTTGTTCTTTTCTACAAAATTCCAGTCCCAACAAACCATAAAAATAGTATCAATTGAGTAGGCAAAAATTGACAAATTTTTCAGTTGATCGAATCGAAAATTTGGCACTATATGAAACGAAGTCGGTAATCGTTTTTTTCATTACTTTTTTCCATTACTTTTTTCCTTCCTTGATATGACAGAATGGTCAGCATTTTCCTCCTTGTTCTATTCCATTATATTCCCTGTGGCATAATCAAAAGAGTAATGATAAAGAAAAGGATGATTCTGTCATCTCCTGTTTTCTTTTTGTGCCGACACAGGAGTAACAAGTCATGGTCTGACAAGTTACAGTCATAACGGACAAACACGAACAGACGAACACGGACAGACAAAACACGGATGGACTCGGACAGACAAACACGGACGGACACAGACAGACAAAAGACAGACGGACTTGGACAGACAAACATGGACGTGCAAAGGACGGACGGAAACAGACAGATAAAACACCAGACAAACACGAACAGAAAACACTCGTGTTTTGTCTGTGTGTGTGTTTTTGTCTGTCCTCATTTGAATATGTCACAGGTAAAAAGAGTGGAACTGAACGAAGAAAAAAAACTGACCATTATTTATAATTAAGGAAGGAAAAAAGTTAATGAAAAAAGTAACAAAAAAAAACGATTACCGACCTCGTTTCATATAGTGCCGAAAATTTTGTTTCCGGTTCGTTGAAAATAACAATCTCAAACTCTGAGGTTATAAAGAGTCCCCACAAAAACTAATTCTGTTACAAATCAAAAAGTAATTTTGTAGTCTCATGTCAGATCAAAATTTGAATTTTAAAAACATACTATTTGTTTGATTCAATGGCATATTTGGTTGTCCCAAAGGATAGGAAGGAAAGAATAAAACGGAAGGTTGAATCTGTGCTGTTGGAGGTGCTGTCGCAGGACCATTAAACATTTTTGGTGTTTCATTGTTCCACGAATTTTGAACCTCCGAATAAAATGGATAAGAAAGGAAATTTGGATCAATTAAATTTGGATTAGTTGCTGAAGTATTTGTATGAATGGCAGGATCACTTCTTGTTCTAAAATAAATTTAAAAAATCAGAATAAGGTATAAAATTTGTGTTCTCTACAAAGAAAAGGAAAATTTTATTTCCGAGACATTTTTTCTTAAAAAATTTAAAGAACAAAGCCATAATAATCGGAAATTTCCAGAATATTGGTCCTATGTTAATGGGAAAAAAATCTTTAATCTCCCAAAAAAATCTTTTAATCTTTTAATTAGATTTGATAAATTCATAATTTAATATACTTTGACCACGTCGGATCTGGTGGCTGCAAATGGACCCCTCCAGGACCGCCAGATTCCACCATTTTTGCCTCATGCCCGCCACTCGGAGATGTTCCATTCCTATAAGGATGAAAATGTGTGGCGCCAGGTGAACGTGTTCTAGCCGCCCTTTGTTGCTGCTGAAATTGGTTGGAAGCTGCTGCGGCCGTTTGAACATTTGTCCAAGAAGGTGACCAACAATAATTGTTGTTCACTGCACAGTTGTAAGGAGAAGGTGGTGTTGAACCCATTGCAGGTTGTTGAACAACCATTTGATGAACGTTAGGTAAAGAACCTCCAGCTCTGTTCCAATTTGTAGTAAGCGGATGAGGGCCCTCGGGGGACAATTTAGAGGAAGAATCGTTGCTCTGGGGGCCATAATTTAAAAGTTGTTGAGGACTTGATTGTGGAGTAGTTTGACGTTGTTGTTGTTGTTGAACGTCATTACCTTTAATAAATGAAGAGTGCGAAATAAATAAACAAAAGAAAACTTGTTATTGTCCGAACATCTCGCATTACATTATTAAACTGTTCTTGTTCTTCGTTTTGCTTTCGCTCCTACAAAATTTTTAAAAATTAAATTTAAAAAACAAAAAAAAATAAAAACTCACCAAAATTGCAATTTTCTCGCTAAATTTTCTTGGAGTTGCCTGTGACATTTGTATTATTATCCTCTTCTTTTTTAGAAATAATTCTGATTAAAAAATATTTTTTGTAGTTTTTACAGTCCAATAATTTTACATGAACTGAAAAAATTGGATAAAGTTAAAAAAACAGCACGTGAAACGGTTTACTCCACCGATTTGGCAAAAAAAAGATGCGGGAAATTGGGAAAGAATAGAGACTAGCAGGCTAAAATGGATTACAAATATTAAATAAAGCTACTAAAATAAGCGCCAAAAATATCATCAACACGTCCCACAATTTTCACAGCAGTAAAAGCTCCTTTATGGCAAGTGTAGCAATTGTATCCCCCCAAATAAGAAAGAAACATGATGCCATACTTTCATAAAAACCAAGGCCGCAGAACAAGCGGATATCGTGGTCTCTCTACCGTGTGGCGATTAGAAGCAGATTTTGTGCTGCCACAAGATATCTAATTTTTTACACTTCTTGGCCTAATCTTTCTCTCTCAAAAAATTCTCAACACGCTCTTTCTGCCCCTGTTAAAGAAGAAAAGCCCCCAACAGAGAGGAAACCAATCTCTGCTGTCGGCTGCATTTAAAATATAGAGACGGGTTCTTCTCTTATTTCCACCTTTCTTTTTCAATCCTTACTTCCCAGGCTGCCTTCAATTTCACACGCATCCATACACTCACCAGTCAATAAATGTTGTAAAATATAAAACCCCATCCTAAATGCTGCAAGCTAGAGAAGGGGTTGAAATATAACACAAAGTTAGTAGTAACATGACCAGTATATGAAGAGAAGGAAATTTTGGTGTTAAAGAAGAAAGTTAGTGAATGTATGTAGTATAAAAAGAGAAATCATTATTTGTTTTTATTGCCCACTTGTGTGTGGAAAAACAAAAACGGCCATCAACAATAAAATTATCGATAAAGGAGAATTGGATAAAAAATCATAAAAATACTAAAATTGGCATAATGCCAAACATTTGAAAAAAAATTTTGCAAATCAATTTTTGCAAAAAATATTTTTCTTTTTTGGGGATGGGTTACGTCATTTTTTATTGGATTGGGTTATAAAAGAGTTTTCTTTTTTAAGGAATTGAGGTTTAATAATAGCCAAATAGTACCTACTTTAATTTATCTAGTCGTAAAATGCCTGCTTCTGCTCTAGAGGAAGATTTGTTAGAAATTTCCAAGAAGCTTACACGGATGAGTAAAGATGTTGATAGACAGGTTAATAAATAGTATTTTTGATATAAATTACATCTGACAGTTATAAATAAAATTTATGTAATTTTGTCTGCAAAAATCCGTCCTCCAAAAATATTTTTTTTAATTTTTTATTGAAATTTCAGCTCGGTGGTGCCATTGATTTGATTGAAGCTCTCGAAAAAATGCCCGTTAATATCGAAGTCTTAACTGTATGTTTGATTTGTTATATTTTTAAATTATAAATTTAAGAAAACTCGTATCGGAATGGTTTTGAATGATTTTCGGAAAAAAGTTGAGGACGAGAAGTTAGCTAAGCGTTGTAAAGCGCTCATTAAGGTATTTTAGAAGGTTTCTCTTTCAATTTTGTTTAAATTTTATTAGCGATGGAAGGCTTTGTTGGAAGAGAAGGCAGCTCAATCTCGTTCAAGTACTCGTTCTAGATCTCCAGATGAATCAAAAACGCCTGTTGTAGAAAACAAGAGGGGCGATATGAATGCTGTTGCTTTAAATTCAAAGTCAAGGCCCCTGATGAATGGAATCTCGTCTGGTGCAACCGATGTAAATTTTAAGTTTAAAAAATTGATATAAATTTAATAAATTAAAGGTTCGATCTAAAAGTGTTGAAATGTTGTTGAATGCTTTACGTTCTGGTGAAATTCCGGATGGTTGGCTATTTTTATTTTTGAGAATAGTTTTAAGTTTTCTTTAAGGTACGTTGGATCCTGAAGATTTGGCTAGACGAATTGAGAAACGTCTTTTTGATTTTCACAATGGGACAGGAGACAAATACAAGTCTGCATTACGCTCGCGCGTCTTCAATCTTCGGGATAAGAAGAACCAGGCTTTACGTGAGAATGTTCTTACTGGAGCTGGTTTGTTAATTTTATATTAAGTAAAGATGTTCCCTCCCTTGTATGGGGATAAGAAAAGATGTTGGGAGATAATTTGTCATAAAAGCGAAAAATATTTATCTTTTTTAGTGGGTGCCGAGAAATTTGCTACAATGACGACTGAAGAAATGGCTTCCGAGGAAATGAAAAAGACTCGTGAAATGTTTACCAAAGAAGGAATTCTCGAACATCAAATGTCTATTCAAGAAGGTTTTTAATTTTTAAAAATTATTTTTTAAAATTATTTTATATTTTCTAGGAACTCCAACAGATATGTTCAGGTCAGAAGTGTTTTCACATTAAAATTATTTTTATATATCTACAAAAAAAAAGCAAAATCCTTTTAAAAACAATTGGGAACTTTTAAATTTGGCAGCGCAACGCTCTGATTTTTTATTCTAAAAATTTTAAATTTTGTTATTTATTGCAGAGATGTTTGAAATTTTATTTCCGTACCAAGAATTTTTTTGTTATAACCCTAGTTAGGAGATGTTCGACTGTATTTTAATTCTATTCAAAAATTGAAATTTCAAACATCTCTGTTTTTATTCCTCTCTATCAATTATAGATGCGGAAAATGTGGACAAAACAACTGCACATACTCTCAAATGCAAACGAGGTCTGCTGACGAACCGATGACTACTTTTGTTTTTTGTCGAAGTTGTGGAAATCGTTGGAAGTTTTGTTAAAATGGAGTGTAGTTTTTTTTGGTTTATAATTGTATAATATTAAGAGAAAAAAATTTTTTGTAAAAAACGGGGAGGGTAAATGAAAAGAAATTAAGGGGTACTTACTTGAAATTGAGTATCACTTTTTAAAGCTTTAAAGCTTCTCAAATTTCTGTATTTTTCGAGAGGTTAGAAAGCAAAAATTACAAAAAAATCTTGGGAAAATTCTATTAGAACAATGTATTATGTCCTAACTGTTTCTTTTTGTTTTTCTTTTACAGAAACGTGCTTATTCTTAACTTTGCCTAACGAAAATAATGACACGTTTTTAGTTTCATTTTTCTGTTTTTCCTGAAAAATAAAAAGTGTATGAAGGTGATATTCATTTCTAGTAAGAACATTCATTTTAGATAGGTCCCTATAATAAGTTAATTGTAAAAAAAAACATTTTCTGTTGCGCTGCCATTTCCCTTTTTCTACATATCTTTTTAATAAATTTTAAAATTAATTTTCTTCTTCAATGGACTAGAAAAGATAGAAAGGATTTTGTTTCACTTGTAGCTTCCATCCTTACAGATATTTGTCTTGCTGTATTTCAAAAATAAACCAAATTTATTTGGTCTTTTGATTATTTATTTTATTTTTGAATAAAATGTTTAAAAAATTAAATTTATTTTTAATTTAATATTCTAATAATAAGTTAGTTTTTCAACTGTTTTTATTTCTTTTGATGAGTTATTTTATGTATGTTCTTTTTTTTCAAAGGATGTTGATTTTCTAATTTTTATCTTTTAAAATTTCAAATACTTGGAGAGCATTGAATAAGCATTTCTCTAAAATTTTTAAACGATGAATAATCGAATTGTGATATGTGGTGGAGGATTAATGGGGCTTTCTGTTGCTTACAACCTGGCAAAACGAGGTTTTCTTTGTTTCTTAAAATTCATTTCAATTTTTGTTTAGGTGTCAAAGAACTTTTTGTTTTCGAAAGGAATTGGTTTGTTTTTGTTCTAGCAACTTAGCGAAAATATTTTAAGTATCGGTGCTCATAATTCTTCACGAGTCAACACCGGATTATTTGGTTAGTTGTTATTAAATCATCAAATTAATTTCGAATTTTGTTAGTAAGTCCAATGTTTTATTCTGAGCCTTCTCTCCGTTCAGTTGCTCGAAAATCATTAAATATTTATAATGAATTGGCTGCTACAGGAGCATTTGGTTTTTTTTTGTTATTTTGAATAAACTAACACTTAAATTATATTTTTAGAGTTCAATAAATGTGGCCGAGTTTATTTATCATCTAGCGATGAATCAGAAACTCAGGCACGAAGATTACTTACTCGATTAGTTACTGACCCTTCAAGTTCTTTTCAAGTTGAAGCAATTGACTGTCCTAGTGAAATGTTGGCAAGATGGCCTATGCTTGCAACAGAGGATGTTAAGGTTTTAATTTTTATTTTAAAGTCCTTAAATTTTAATAATTTTTAAAAATTCTAGTTAGCCGTTTTCTCCCCTTTGGATGCAACAATTGACGTTTCTGGACTTTCTCGTATTTTGGCAGACAATTGCAGAGAAATGGGAGTTCAAATTTTTGAGAATTGCTCCATTAAAAAAGTTTTGATAAACGAGGAGAGCAGAGTTTATGCTGTTGATACTGATGAAGGTTTTATTGATGTAATGGCTTTTGTTGACGCTGCAGGAATTGTAAGTATAATTGGGATTTTTAAAACATTAACTTAAGAAGATTTGTTGAATCAAATTAATATATTTAATTCATAAGAGTGGCATTTGTGGGGTTACGTCAAATATTTACGTATCCCGAAATCAGTTGCTAAAGAATTGTAATAATTTTGTTAATTCAAGTTTTTTAGGATTCTAGTCTTGTTGATGTTTTGGGCCTTCCTGATGCTGACCATCCAGTCAGAATTGCTGCCCATCCTTGTTCATTTACTTTTCTTTCTACTGATCCTTTACCTCATTGTCAATCATCTAGTCAATCACAACCTGTTTTTGTTTGTATGGACGAAAATACTTTTATTTGCCCTTTAAAGACAAAAACAATTTGTGGAGGTTTTACAATGGAAGGTGGTGATTTACAAGCATTACCTCCATCTTCACAAACTTCCAAAGGATCGGTGACTGAATGGCATATGCCAACACCTGTTTGGGATAATTTTCGTAAATATTTTTTGATTTCTTTTACTAATCTAAAAATAGAATTTAGGCATAATTCTTCGCCATTTGATCGACAGATGTCCTGAATTGGCTCAATTATCTCGTGGTGAACTAATGACTAGTGCAGAAATGTACACACCAGATATGAAGCCTCTTATTGGAGAATCCGATCAGGTTATTTTGTTTTTAATTAAACTAAAATTCTTTTCGTAAGGCTAAAGGTTTTTTCCTTGCTACTGGTCTTAATGGACAAGGAGTCTCATTTGCTGGAGGTTTGGGTTCAGTGCTTGCAGAATGGATTTTGAGTGGATCAAGTAGCATTCCTGTAGATAAATTGGAATTAACTCGATTTCTTCCTTTGCATTCTAATCCGCATTATCTTTATTTACGTGTGCCGGAAATTGCATGTAAATTTTATTTTTATTTTAAATGCTTTCTTTTGAACCGGTGGTTTTGAAGAAAATATTTTTGTTCTAATTAATAATTGAAATTAAATTTTTAATTATTCAAGAAATTAAAATTTTCCCTCAACTTTTTTCTCCATATATTTTTTTAAATTTTTAGTCAACACTCTAAAGGTTTGCTGAGAGTTTCCATTCCTTTATTTAAACATTTCGTCAGAATCCTCTTTCATCACATCAATGTCATACAGCTAGAAATTTACGTACTTCCCCAATTCACCACAGTTTGAGGGATGCTGGTGCCGTTTTTGCAGAAATAATGGGTTATGAAAGGTTTCTTTTTAATTTCTTTTTTTAAATAAAAAATATTTAGACCTCTTTGGTATAATACAGCTTCTAATTTTGATCAAGATAGTGATGGACCAAGTAAATTTATTTTAAAATAATTCCAAATTTTTTGAAGGATTACCTCGCCCATCAAATTTCTCTGGCGAAGATCAACTTGTCGGAAAACCTAAATGGTTTCCACTTGTCTCGAAGGAATATTCAACTTGTAGAGAACGAGTTGGACTTATTGATATGACAAGTTTTTCAAAATTTGACATTCAAGGCGCAGATGTTGTTCCTTTATTGCAACGCCTCTGTTCTGGAAATATTGATTGTCCAGTTGGAACGTGAGCAAAATTTTCTTTTCTTTCGAGGTTGAGGTTGAAATTTTTTTGTCGAAAAATTTTTTAGAAAAAATTTTAAGAATTTTTATAAATTTAATTTTTATTTTTTTATTTATTTACAGAACAGTTTATACTGGAATGCAAAATGATCATGGAGGATACTTGACTGATTTAACTTTAAGTCGAATGGGATTGCACTAGTTACTCTTCTCTTTTTTTAAATCTTATTTTTTAAATAAAAAATTATTTTTCAGTTATTTTATAGTTGCTCCAACTGTTCAACAAGTTCGTTTAGCTCTTTGGATTAAAAAATGGGCAAATGAATGGAAAATGAACGTTCAACTTCAAGATGTGACAAATGCTTTTACGGCATTAGATATTGTTGGACCAGCATCTAGAGCTTTAATGAGTGAAGTTACTGGAAAAACTATGTCTCCTAATGAATTTCCTTCATTTTCTTTTAGAGTATTTTTTTAAACTTTTATTTTTATTAAATTTTTTTGTAAAGGAAATGCATATTGGTTTAGCTGGTCCAATTAGAGTAATAAGTGTTACACATTGTGGTGAACTTGGTTGGATGCTTTATATTCCGAATGAGGTTTTTTTAGAAATTAGAACGAAATTTAAAAGGAAATTGATGCGGATAAATCTATGGAAATTAGTACATACAGTGGTGCACAATTACTTTTGCACCATGAAAAATTCAGTTTAATCTTTAAAAATTAAAAAAAAATATTTTTATAATTTTTTCATCCTAAAGTTTGTAGTTATATTAAAGCCCGTAAAAAATAGTTTATTTTAGGACAAACAAAAAAATTTTTAAATAGAAAATGACCGTTGACAAGACCGTTGACAAGTTGAAATCAAAAATTTATATGTAGTGGGTATTACTTTTGTGCACCACTGTATATCCCCTAAAATAAGGAAAAAACTTAACAAAGGGGTTTGTCAATCTCTCTTAACGTTTTAAGTGCATTTTTACATCAAACATTTTTTAATACTATCTTTTATTTTATTATAAAGGTGGCTCAAAATGTTTATGAACAATTAATTGAAGCTGGTTCTCTACATGGATTAAAGCATTGTGGATATTATGGTTTTTCTTTAATTTTAAAATAATTTTTAAATATTTATTTTTTCAGCATTAAGGCATTTACGTATCGAAAAATTTTATGTTTATTGGGGTCAGGATATTGGTAGTGGAACTACACCTGTCGAATGTGGTCGGGCTTTTCGCGTTGATTTTGATGTAATTTTTTAAAAGGGAATATTTTTTAAATTTTTTTTTAAATTTAGAAAGAATTTATTGGAAAAGAAGCTTTACAAAAACAATTAGATAGAGGAGTAAATAAACGTTTTGTTCAACTTTTATTAGAAAATCATAATTTGGAAACTGACCCGTGGCCTCAAGGGGAAGAACCGATTTATCGAAATGGAAAATTGGCAGGCTGGACAACAACCGCGGCATATGGATTTACTCTTGGATGTCACGTAAATAAATTTATATTTTATTTTTAAATAAAGCTTATTAATGCACTAAAAATGGGAAAAAAAGAAAAAAAATAATGCTGAATAAATAATTCAGAAAAAATTATTATGCAAAATACATAGAAAAATAAATTACAAAAAATATAAGGAAAAATTTTTTTCGAAAAACAAAGTTGGTGGTGGGGATTAAATCAAAAATAACTTTTTTTTATAAATAGTACAACACCTGATACTTTAAATGATCTTTAATCTCTTAAAGGGTGGTATGTTTGGGCGTGATAAAACATTTTTTGAGAGCGGCTAAAATAGAAATTTTTGCCCACAAATTTTGGAAATATAAACGATTAGATTTATCAACTAAAACATTTTTTTATTAAAATCAGAACTAAAGGTTTTTAGATATCCAAGAGACAGAATTCCTTCTTTTTATCACCGCAGGCGAAAATTTTCATTGGGGATTTCGGAGTCGGCTCTTGCAATTCCAACTTATCAACGGTTCCGGGAACAGGTCCCAAACCAGTAGAACATGTTTTGAAAAATTCTAAAATTTACCAAAATCTAATTAGCAGCGCAATTTTGGGGAGGATATTTTTAGCAAAAAGATATAAAAAAATGCACAAACTTAACAACCTGAATCTTTAAAATATTTTAAAAATTTTCTTTTTTAATTTAAGGTTTGTTTGGGCTATATAGAAAACAAAGAATTTGGTTTGACAACAGAATTTTTGAATAAAGGAAGTTATGAAGTTGAATTAGCAGGAAAGCGATTTACATGTAAAGTTAATTTACACTCACCTACATTACCTATGTTTTCATCCGAACATCCACAACATTATAGACCTACACAGTAAAAGAAAAATTGTATTTTTTTAATTTGACAAGGAAATAAAGGTTTTCGATATTAGATGAATTCGTGCGTTTGAAATTAAAACAATTAAGTGAAAGACCTTACTTACAAAGAATCATTGGAGCCTTTACCGTATTTTCTCGATTAATTCCTCCTTCGAATAATTCCCCCTCTCGATTAATTCCCCATGCTAGAGTTTGGTTGAAACAATAATTCCCCACCCCCAAATACCCTACTGCTCGTTCAAATGCCAAAACTCGAAAAATTCCACTCCCTCTTCCCTATCCCACGTATGGGTTGAAATATTAATTCCCCAGGGGAATTAATCGAGAAAATACAGTAACTAGGAAATATTTAAGTTATAAAAAAGTAGTGGCAATTTTTTTATCTTGGCAATTTTACAATAAATCTTAATTTTCAAAGGGTTAATTCAATTGAATATTTCACGTAGAAGCGTGTTGAATTCAATTTTTAAAATTAATCAACAAAAATGTATTTTCAACAAAAAAATTGGTAAACAAAAAAATAATAATATTTTTAACAGAGAACCCAATTTTTTCGCAAAAATAAAATCTATTCGTCTTCAAATAAAATGACAAATAATAATGACTAAATAGATGTACTTTTTCGTTCTTTTTTTAAATTGATTTTTGCTTCATCCTCGAGCACTTTCCACCACCCCACATTTTTATTATTTTCTCATATTTATTAAAACGATCAATAATTTTGGGTGGATGCAGAAACATAAATAAATAAAACCAAAACACACAAAAACACAAAGGGCAGACGAGGCAGAAAAGCTCCTTATTTTCCCGCCCAATTCTTTTATTTATTTTTTGCATTTATTTTTCATATAAATAAACAACTTCCCCTCCAATCCATTATAAAAATAAAATTTTCTTTTTTTTTGGGAGCAATTTTTAGTATACGACGGACGCCTTTCCTATTTTTTTTACTATTCGTCCTATGATGTCGTTGCAATTTAATGATGGAAGAAAATAGTGTGGGGAAAGAGGAGAGTTTTTTCTCTCCATCCAATTTTCTCCGAGCACAAAACCATAACATTTCTTTTTTCTTTCACAATTCATTCCACAACCAACAGCAGCACAGTAGGAAAAAAGGCCATCTATTTCATCTCAACACACACACATAAACATTACTTGCTAGCCTTCGTCCTTTTTACCAATGGGCAGAAAAAAAAATTTTTTTTTCATCGGCTTTGACTAACAAACATTTGTGGAGAGGTCCTTTGTGGCGTGAGACTTGCCTACTATTTTTTCTCTAAAAATTTTAGATGGAGAGTTGGAGTATGGGGAATGGACAGGATTAAAGAAAAGGGTTGTTTGGGAAATGACGGATGGGGAATAGTTGTTTAGTTGAATGAGCGGGCGATGAGAAATGGTCGTTGAATGAATAGGAGCAAAATTGGAGCAAGCAAGAGAGTGTACAAAAAGAATAGAGAGGAGTAAGGAAAAGGGTCGTTTAAAAAATTTTACGAGGGAAAGTATGGGTAGCATTGTAAAATAAATATGAAGACAACAAGGTCGGCGCCTAAATGGCCTTTTTACTCTCTGTCACTCATCTTACAACACACTCTTTTTTAAATGCAGGCAGATGGATGTTTTGACGCGCACGCAGTCAAATGAAATAAATAACGACTGACGGGTTGTCAGGAGCAGCCGCCACCGACTGTCTTTTCTTATGCATTTCACAATAAAAAGTAGAGAAAATATTAATGTTAGAGAAGAAAACAGAAAAAGGATAGAAATAAGAGGCTTTCAAAGGTTTTAAAAACACGGCAAACACAAAGCTGGTGATTGTTGGCGAAATGGTTCGATGTCTTTTTATCTCTTACTTTTTCTTATTCTCTCATTTTTCCTTACTCTCTCATTTTGACAAAACATCAAATTTTTTCCCTTGAATGCGCCCGCGGCGCAAATCGCCGACTCTTCTGGCTTGGGTAGTGAGAGCCTTTATTTTTTCACTCTCTCTCATCGACATTATGCGTTGTGAATAGATACGTTGGATGGTCGTTGTCACAGCCTTCACCTTCGATTGCCTCTGCCTCTATCTACCCTGTCGTTTCTCCATTTATTTTTGCTACTCCCCAACCAAACAAACAAAATTGCCTGTCGTTTGGACGCCGACCATTTCTTCATCCTTTTCAATCTTATCCTTCTCAACATTTTTCCCCATTCAAAGTCGGCCGTCTTCGTTTTAAAAATATCGCTCCTCTCTACTTTTTAGCCTCGGCAATGTAAAAATATAAAATGAGTGGCGGGAATGAGGAGAGGAATTGGTCGGCTGTTCGGCGGCGGTTAAGTCCTCCACGTCCTTTTTCCCCTCCTCCTTTTTTTTCTTCCATTCAGCTTTCCACCCGCCTCCTCACAGAGCAGTTCGGCCTCTCCCCTTCTCCATTACTAATGGTAACCTTTCCTTTTTTCCCCTTTTTAACATCATCGTTGTCATCGACGTAACACTAAAATACATTTCGCAGAAACACAAAAAGACATAATTGTGTTTTTCTGTATTTTTCTGGGCAAGCTCCGAACACAAGAAACAAAATGGCGACAATAAAAAGGGGGAATAGTAATAGGGGGAAAGGCTCTTTCATGGTGTGGACATTTGGCTAGAATTTCAGACCAACCACCACAACTTTGGGGGGATAGCGAGAATGAAAAATGACTAATTTTTATTTTTAAACTTGCCTTTTATAGTTTTTCTATTTATTTATTTTCTTTTGTTTCCAATTTTGAAAAAAAAACTTTTCACACGTTTTTAATTTTTTGTGAAAAAGCTTAATGAACCGCGTATTTTAAATTTTTATTTCTTTTTATACCGACCCCCCTCTTTTTTCCAATTGCACTTTCAATTACATATATATTTAATCTTTCCTTCCTTTTCGTGTTTTGTGTGTTGTTTTTGCCACTTTTTTAAATTGTTTATTTTTGTGATGGCGCAAAAAAGACCACCATCATCGTTTTCTCGGTCATGTCCTTCTCCTCACTTTCCGCGCCTCTTGTACTCTTGTCGCCAAAGAAAGGTGGGAGGAGGGTGGCAACAAAATTGGAGAAAAATGAAATGGGAGAGAGGCCTCTGGGAATAATTTCCTTTTTTGGGGCAAAAGTCTATTTTCATTTTTTTCAAAAAAAAAATAAAAGAAAAATGAAATAAGGTGGTAGGGGTTGTGGGGGTATAGTTGACTGACTTCCTCGTGGGGCATTCGAACGTTTTTTTTTTGTTTGGCGGGTTTCTGGCTAGTGTTTTTGTAAGTGGCAGAAGGGGCCAATAATGAGGGGAAAAAAGAAAAATTGCAAGGTGGAAAGGGGAAGGAGGAAAAAAAAACAAAAAAAGTGAAAGGGGCGGATTTCAATTGATGACGAAGTTGAACTTTGAGAGCTGTGCGGAAGCACGTGCAAAAAATGCGTAAACATGCAAAAAGGTTTTTTTCGATTGTCTAGTTTGTATCGTGAGAGAAAATGTATTTATATTTAAGATTTGTTAAATAAACAACAATTGGACAAGGAGGGGTGGGAGGGGAGGAGGGAAAGGGGGAAATTCTTGGGTTTCTCTAAAAAATAAGACTTTTTTTAATACGTTTTAGCACGTGTGTACTTAAATAAACTAAATTTAGAAAGGCTTTTGATATGTAATTGGAAACGAAAAGGGAAAAAAATTTGTAGGTAGGAAATTAGTACATATTTTGCAAAGATCAATTTTTCACGCCGAAAAAGAAGGGAAAGGATATCTATAATTTTTAAGTCTTAATAAAATCAGAAAAAGAAAAATCACAAAAAAAAGAAATCTTTAAATTGCCCTTTTATATGAATTGATGTTTTGGTGTTTTGGATAAACTGTCATTTTCTAATTGTTTTAAACATTTTGCCAATTTATTTTCTATTTCAAAATTGGATCAAAGCTTTTATCAGCTCTTTATTATTCTTTCAATTTCATCTTTATCTTCTTTAACATTTTATACATTTATTTTAGTTTTTTAGATTATTCGATGTCTCTCTTTGAGCTAAATCGAAAAATACAAAAATCTACGTAATTTAATTTTGCTAGGCCAAGTTATGGTCATAAATATTGTCTTCAACTTATTTTATTAGAAAATACTCTTTCTTATATTTTTTAATTAAAAATGTATCCTTTTCAAAATCAACAACAACAGCAGCAACAACAACATGTACCTTTGCCACCTTCACAACAAACGGTTTTTAAATTTTTTTCTGATTTTTTGCCCCTGTTTAAACCCTGAAACGAGTTCAATTTCTATTTTTTAGCATTATCAACTTCGTTACCCTCCAGCAATGCTGCCGCCCAATCACGCTGCTGCTGCGGCTGCTGCAGCAACAATGGGCCAACCTCCTCCCTTCCAACCACCACCAGCAACAGGTCAAGCACATCAACAACATCCCCTTCAACAACAAGCGATGTATCAATATCACATGGCGGCACCACATCCTTCCACATTTCCTCGTAAGTTTTTGTATATTTTGGGGATTCTCGCTGGGAAGAGAATTTTCTTATTGACTCATTTTCCCATAATGGTCCCCTAACCACGTCCTTCATTTCATGTTAAAATAATTTGTTATTTTTTTAGCCCATCCAAGTAATATATACATTGCTTCATCTTCCTTACAACAACATGCTCAAGCACCACAACAACTTCCTTCTGGAGGGCAAAATGGAATAGTTAGTGGTGGACATCCATCACTTCTCGGAGGTGCTAATATCCATCCAGGCATTAAACCTTCTCAAAGAGAATCAGTAGACAAATTAGTAATGCAAATATCCAACCCAAAACAACAAATAACTCCAGAATTGGCATATGAAAGACGTTTCTTTTTTGAAAGGCTTGTAATGTTAAATGAACAACATGGGGAAGTTTTGAGTGGTCCACCACAAGTTTCTAAATCACCAGTGGATTTATACTCGCTTTATTATGCTGTTAAATTACGTGGAGGATTTGAGAAGGTTAGAAAAATTATTTTTGGGTTTTAAAAGTTTAAAATGATTTTTTGGTGCTAGAGGGTTTTGGGGGATTTTTTCTGCCTTTTTAGAATGATTATAAAAATTTTTAGACATTAGGTGATTTTTGGGAGGTTAGGGTTTTTTTGGTTTCTAAGTTTTCGAATTTTTAAACAAAATTTTTTGGAAGGGATTATATGGTTGTTAAATATTTAAAAATATTTTTACAGACAATTCGCGACAAAATTTGGAAAAATTTATGTGTTGATGCAAATACTGAAATGCAACAATCATCAGCAGCAGGCTTTCAACTACGCAAGCATTATCAAAAATATTTATTAAGATTGGAGTGCCTTGAAACTGGCCAAAATATAAAAGAATTGGTTGAATTTGCTGAAAAACAGAAAAAGAAGAAAAAAGAAAAAGAAATTATTCCCCCAACAGCAGCAACGCCGATACCTACAGCTGGGGGTCCTGGTACTCCTTCATCAAGTACTTCATCTTCTATAGCTGGGAAAGAGGAACAACAGCAACAAATTAAAGGAGAACAACAACAACCACAAAGACCTTCTCCATTTGGAGGTGTTGTTAATGCTTATCCTCCAACACAAGGTTCTTTTATAGAAAAAATTTTTTTTGATTGGGTATCCTAACTTTTTACTAGAGGGAAGAGATAAGTATTATTTAATCACTCGGACATCATTAAAAAAGGTTCGACTGATTATTAAAAAGAAGAGAGAGGGTTTTCTTTGGGCGAGAAAATCTCATAATTATAAAAGGATAGGTAAATTAATTAGCTCCCCAACACAGGTGCCAACTAAATTTAAAAAACGTGTCTTAAATTTGTGTTATTTTCTAATTCTGTGGGTATCTGTAGTTAGGTCTGATTGTTTAAAAAAATAAAAATTGACTTTAAAAAATTGCAAATCATTTGGTAAAGTAAAAGTTAGGAAACTCAATCAATTTTTATTTTAAAAAAAATTAAATAAATTAAAAATAAATTGAGTCATTTATAATAGAAAAAAGAACGAAAAAAAAATCGTTGCTTTTTTGTAAAAATAAAATGAATAGATTTATAATTAGGTTTTTAAAAATATAATGAATGGGGGAAAAAGGAGAATTTTTTTATTATTTATTTTTTTTCTTTTTTGAGTGCAAATGTACTCAATTTCTCTAAAAAAAGAAGATTCTCATTTTTTTCTTGCTTTTTAAAAAATATATTTATTTATCGAGGCATTTAATTTTTAAAACGGAAGAGGAGGGGGGAAGGAAAAAAGGAGGAAGTTTTTATTTTTAAAAATATATTAATTCTTTTTATTGAGTGAATGAAAGAAGGAAGAAAAAAATTTTTATTTTTGGAAAATAAGTATTTTTATGGAAGGGGAATTAATTTAAAATAATTATGAGACAAGAAAAAAAGAAGAGGAGGAAGGGGGGGGGGATTTGAAACATCAAATGGTGACAATATTAAGTTTTGAGAGAAATATTTTTTTTTAAATTATAAAAAAAATTTTTTTATTTATTCGGAAAATTCTGTTTCGAATTGTGAAAGAAAAAATAACCAAAGAAAAAAAAAATAGAAAAATATCCTCGTTTTTTGGGGAAAAAGATTTTTTGATATTAAAATAAATTTTGGAAATATTATTTAAAAAAATAGATATTTTGTAGGGTTTTTTTATTTGTGAAATTATGGTTAAAGTATAGGGTTGTCGGTTCTTGGAAAATCTTCGGATATCCGGATCCGAACCGAAAAATCCTCGGTTCTTCGGTTATACAAAAATTAGGGAAATTTTTCTGGAAAATTTTCTGGTCATAATTTTACTTAAACTACAAAAAATTTTTTTTTAGATTTAGATTTTAGATTTCTTTTTGGAAAATTTTTATTATTTTATTTTTTGAGAGGTAAAAATTTTTTATGCAGGTGTTCATTTTATTTTTTAGCTTTAAGTATTTTAGCTAGTATTTTAAAATAAATAAAAATGAGAAATTGTAAATTTTAATAAGCTTTACTAAAAATGAAAATTAATAAAAAAAAATTATGAATGGGTAATTATTATTTAAATGTGTTTGAATATAAAAATTATTAACTTCAAAACTTCCTCTATTTTTCTGTTTTCTCTTTTTTAATTTTTTTAATTAAATCTTTTCTTCATAATTTTATTATTATTTCACTCATTGCGTGATATTTTATTTATTTTTTAAAATTTTTGTTTGTGGGAGAATTTGAGTAATTATTGTAAAAAAAGTCAGTTATTCTGTTATTATTGTTCTCACGTTTGCCAAAAAAAATTTTTTTCTTTCTTTAAAATGCCACGGAACTGCGCGATTAAGTAAAATTATTTTAAACCATCTGGTAACACACCCATAACTAGGGCCTTCGGCCCTAGTTATGGGTGTGGGACTACTACTTCTACATTAATTTTTTACTTTGGCAGAGGATGGAAAAGCCTTGGCAGTAGATAGATAGCCCTATGGGCGTTGGAACCTAAGCCTTGCCCGTTAGGGCCTTCGGCCCAAACTTCGTCCGCTCCGCGGCCGAATGGGCGCTTCGCGCCCATGGTCGGTTTAGTTACAATGCTTTGCGTTCCGAGGCTGGCCTCTAGGCCCCTTCGGGGCGGACAAATCTATCGGAGTTACGTATGCTTTATATTAAATGGAAAAGCCTTGGCGGTAAAGTCTAAAAATAGGATTAAATTTCAGACCATACCCACGTGGCCGCTTCGCGGCTCCCACGTCGTTTGAGGTATAATACTACACATTTAGACCATTTTGTAAATTTTGAGACTCAGACTGAAAAATTTTAAATCTGAGACTCAAGTGTACTTTTGTTTAAAATCACTTTAAAACACTTTCTAACCTTATCCTACGACATTCCCCACACTCTAGAATCATTCCCACGTGGCCGCTTCGCGGTACCCCAGTTGCGGAAATTTCGACACGGCTAAGTTTTTTTCTGAGACTGAAATGACCCTTAATTTTCATATATTCGTGCTCCTCGCACGATTCCACGTCGATTGAGGTATCACTCGACCCATTTAGACCATTTTTAAAATTTTGAGTCTGGGACTGAAAAATTTGAAATCTGAGACTCAAGTGTACTTTTCTTTGCAAACGCTTTATTACTCTTTCCAACATCATATTATACCCTCCCCCACCATTCAAAATCATTCCCCATGTCCCAGACTCAATTTGACACCCTCAGACTCAAGTGACCCCTTCAAAAATATTTTTATTGAATTCCCCGAGGTCGATTACCTATAACCACCAGAGTTTATCCCCCAATTCCCAGCAGTTTTCTCTGTGACTCAAAAATGTCTATTAGAGTATGGGACGGGACGTTTCAGTCTTACCAGCATATCGTACCTTCAAGTCGGTATTTCGGGGCCGGGTTTTTTTCTATCGATATCTTCACCCGACGGGTCAGTGCCCTACCGACGGGCCATTTCGACCACCCGACGGGTCAGTGCCCTACCGACGGGCCATTTCGACCATTTTGAAAAGTTTGAGTCCCAGACTGAAAATTTGGATACTTGAGACTCAAGTGTACTTTTGTTGGAAAACGCTTTAGAGCCCTCCCTAACATCATCCTACAACATCCCTTACCCTCTAAAATCGTTCCCCAAGTCCCAGACTCAATTTGACTCACTCAGACTCAAGTGACCCCTTCAAAAATATTTTTATTGAATTCCCCGAGGTCGATTACCTATAACCACCAGAGTTTATCCCCCAATTCCCAGCAGTTTTCTCTGTGACTCAAAAATGTCTATTAGAGTATGGGACGGGACGTTTCAGTCTTACCAGCATATCGTACCTTCAAGTCGGTATTTCGGGGCCGGGTTTTTTTCTATCGATATCTTCACCCGACGGGTCAGTGCCCTACCAGCAGAAGTTTTCCGCTATCTCCCCCCGTTCGCGAGATATTTCGAAAAAACCGGTTTTTAAAATTTTTATGGGAGGTTTCAGTCTTACCGACATATCGTACCTTAAAGTCGGTATTTTCGGGCCGGGTTTTTTTTAATCGACATCTACAGCCGATGGGTCACCGCCCTACAAGCAGAAGTTTTCCGCTATCTCCCTTCGTTCTCGAGATATGTCGAAAAAACGAAATTTCGACTTTTTTCTTTTCGACTTTTCGACCCCTTCCGGGCCGAATTTCAAAAAACTAAGATTTTTTGGTGCTTGTAACTCATATGTGCTCTATCGATTGGCACCACTTCCAGACCTCTCCGACTTCCCAGAAGTCTCATCTTGATTTCGTATTTTTGCCGAAAAAATTTCGACTTCGCATTTCGACCTCAATTTTCGACCAAGTCGAAAAATTTTTTTTTCATTCATGTTCACTCCCAAAGACCTCCAACTTTGCTGTTGACACCTAACCGCTACAACCCCTCCTTCAGGTCGAAACTCGAAAAGCGAAAAATGACACGTTTCGCCAATTTCGACTTTTCGACCCCTTTCGACCCGAATTGGGAATTCTCTATAATTTTCCTGAATGCCCCTTAAACTAAGCTACAAAACAAAAGAAACCCGGATTCGATCCGACTTTTCGAAAAACAGTTGGCAGTTTTTGAATGTGGACCCCCCCATTTTTTTTTATTAAACCATCTGGTAATAATTGGAAAAAGAATTTTTGGTTGCTACGGGTTTTAATAACTTTTACTTTTGCATACAAAGGCAAAAGGAATTTAGAGACTTAAAATTGTTAGGTGGCGGAATTAAGGAGGGAAAAGGGGATATACGAGGGGAGGAAGGGTGACAGTAAAAAAGTGAGAAAGGAATTAATTTTCCAACAAGGGGACAAAAAGCATTCGCGCGAGAAAGGAAGGAAAAAATGAATAGTTTTGAGGCTTTTAAAAATTGGGGGGGGGGGGGGTGTGGTATTGGATGGGGGACAAGAAGTTGTTGTGGTGCTAGTTCCGTTTGAAAGAAATAATAATAGGAAGGAAGGGGGGAGGTGTGTGTAAAACAAAAAAGGAAGTGGTGGGGATTTGTATTTTTTCATAAAATGGCATCAAAAAAAAAGAAGGAAAACCGTCGCTAACACGCTCCTCAAAACCCTTTTAGAAATTTCTTTACTTTATTAGAAAGAGGTGCCACACAACAACGATAAGTAGGGAGGGGGATTTACAGTGCCTTTAGTGCGCGAAGTTGTCTTTTTAATATATAAAGGAATTAATTTTGAAAAAAAGGAGGAAGGGGGGATCATGTAATTTTCTCTTTTTAACGGCAATTGAAGAAAGGAGGGGGGGGGGGAAAGGTTTTTGTTGGCATGACACACAAGACTTTTCACTTTTTCCTTTCCTCTATTGGACATTTAAAAATGAAAAATAAAATTGCCTTTTACTCTAATATAAAATGAAAATTGTTTTAAAATTAAAAAATAAATTATTATTATTATTTTATGTCGCGCACCCTCAAAGAAAATTAAATAAATAAATAAAGAAAAAAATTTATTCAAAAACATTAAAGAACAAAAAAATATTATTAGCTCAGGAAATAAATTATTTTTTTTATTTTTAATCTGCTTTCCATTTTTTTTTCATATTTTTTTTCCTTTTTTGTCTATTAAAAATTTAATTGCTTTTATTTATTTTTTTCTTGTTGTTTCTTTTTCTAGTATTAATTCCCTTTTTAATTTATTTATTAATCAAAGAAAAAGTTTTATTTGATAGGTTTTAAAAAGTTTTTAAGAAAGAAATATTAAAGTTTTTTTAATTCCGTCTGTTTTATTTTAATGCAACTTTAAATGAAACAAAATAAACTTGAATAAAAACAAGTTTTAAAAAACAAGTTTTCTCTTTATTTAAATAAAAAAAACTTGGCAACAATTAATTCAAGAAAAACGGCTAATAATAATTCTAACAACGACAATTCACCTTCTACCAACATTTGTTTTAAAAATTCAAAAGAAACGGCTTCTACCACTGCCATTCAACAACAACAACATCAATTTGTGGCTGTTGGAAAGGATCTAGTAAATGTCGGAATTGCCACAACATCTGAGGGATGTCAGGCTGTTCCGAGTACTTCCGCTTCGGCCCCAGCTTATTCTTCGGCCTCTACTACCTCAACTTCGACTCTTCAAAACCAGCAGAGAGCTCAACATTTTTACCGATATTGGCCTCATCAACAATGGCCCCAATATTCCCCATATTTTGCTTCTAATGGCTATCCCTCTTCCGAATCGAATTATTATGCCTATTCTTCATATCCTGCTTTGAGTTATTGGCCAACAAATAATTGGGGATGGCCGGTAAAAAACTGGGCAAATTATCAACAACAACAAAACCAACAGAAACAACAATCTCAATCAACCACCACAAATTCTGTTAATTCTTCTTCAAAAGATAGTCCAGTCACAACAACCATTCAATCAACCCTTCAAACTTCTCAAAGCTTAGATTCTTCTCCCTCAACATCAAAAACCCCCGATGAGGCTAATAATGCCTCCTCCTCTTATGCTTGGTATCATTACCATCAACAGCAAAATGCTGTTAGATTGAAACTCTATCAAAGACAGCAACTTGCTGCACGATATTTAAGCGGCGCATCTAATAGCGGTTTTTAAACAAAAAATTTATACAAAATTTTTAAAAATTTTAAACTAAAAATTCTATTAAAAATAATTTTTAAAAATAATTTCACTTTATTTTAGGCTACTCTTTTCAACCTGCACCAGGCGATTTTGGAGCATCTCCAGCTGCTGGGTATCCCCCACCTCCGCAACATTTTGGTCCTAGCGGTCAATATTTGCCTTCTTCGCAATGGAATGCTTACCAACAACAAATGTTTCTTCAGCAAAGAATGAGGGGACCTCAACCATCGCCTACAAATCCTTCAACTGTTTCTGGAAAGCAGCAGCAGGTATTTTACCTTTATTTTTAATTTAATTGGTAAAATTTATTAGAAAATACTTCCACCCTCAATCTAAGCAAATAAACCAAAAATATTTCCAAAAAATTAATTTTTCTTCCCAAATTTTTTTTTGCTAAAAATTAATTAGTCGAGTCAAAAAAAAGATCAATTTTGAGCGTAAAATAATTATTTAATGTTTCCTTTTAGTCACGTGTCTTGAAAGGGGAATCTCTAAAAAAAATTTTTTTTATTATGGGAACTTGTTTACACGAAAAGAAAAAATTGTAAATAAATAAATAATTCACATGAATAAAGGATGACTAAAAAATAAAAAGGAAAAAAAATAAATATTTAATTATATTATTTATTGAGAATGTTTTTTAGGGGGTGGGACTTAAAAATTATTTGTTTATTTTAGTTTTTGAATGATGTAATTTTTTTTAGAATTTTTTTTCTTCTTATTTAATAGAAAACCTTTATTCAATGGATTAGTGTTTCCTTCTTTCATTTTTTACAAGTCGGAGTTAAGCTATCCAGTTAGATATTGAACCGAAATTGTCTTTAATTGTCTTATTTTTGTGAATTATCTATATTTATGATAACCCCTGATGTTTATGATAACCCCTCGTAGGCAATTTACCATATCTAGATAAATAAATCTTAAAAATTCTGATATATTTTTAAATTTATTCTCCGCTGGAAAGTGACCATGGTCGGCGGTTCTCTTGCCATCATAGGCAATTTACCATTAACAATTTTTAATCAAATTTAAAAAAGGCGGAAGATGAACATCAACAATTACAACAACAACAAGGACGTATTATCCCCTCTTCAACTTCATCCTCACGCCTATCATCAACTCCAGCGCCACCCGATGCCCAACAACAAAGCAGAGCACCTTCTACAGTCACAACTGATTACCAACAACAAAATGAATCTTCTAAAAGGGTTGATGGAAGTGAAATAGATGGAGGAGGAGGAGGAGGAGATTCTGCTCAAAAAGAGGCTAAAGGAGGGAATAATAATCTTTCGACTTCAAATGCTTCTACCTATCCTCCAAATGCTATGGGGTTTATCAAACTTTTTAATTTTTTTTATCATTTTATTTTTTAGAAATCCACCAAATGCAATTCCACCATCGTCTGGCGGTTATTACCAGCACCAAATACCGCATCCTTCACTTTATGCTCCTCGTTATTCTCCAGGGAGTTTGCCGTCGTCTTCTGATTATGGTCAAGGGATGTATGGAGGCACACCTAGAATGCCACAACAAGTTTGTTTAATTTTTTATTAGAGTTGTTGTTAGATTCGCTGACTGTACAACATACATAAGTCTAGGCATAGGTTGAGTTTGCCTACTTTTTTTACAGTATTCTGGGTCCATTTCTGAAAACCGCTTCCCAACCTTCCACCTAAAATTTGACAAATTCATAGTGTTTTATAGCGTCATCAATATCTTTAAAAAAATTTCCTTTTTAAAGCCACCACCAATGTGGTCACCATATGGAGGAATGCAAAATCCTGCAGCAGTAGCTGTACGTTATCATCACCAACAACCACCGACTGTTGGAACTCCAATTAATCGTTTTTCACATCCTTATTCACAACAATCAACTTCTCAACAACAACCAAATATGCCTATTGGAGCTGTGAATTCCCCGCAACTTTTGGCTGCTTCACAGCCGCAACTACACCCGCAAAGTTCGGGCAAGCACCACTCAAAAGGGAGGAATGCAGGTATATAATAGATATCAAGGGCGTAGCCAGGGGGCTTCTGGGGATAAAGCCCTCCGCCCCCGAAATGGAAAAAGGTAAAAATTTGAGAGGGGGATTGAGCAAAAAAGTATGCCATATTTTTCGGTTTCTATAAAAATTTCTTTTCAAGGTCCTGGAATGTTACCAATAGCTCCATCTGTTCCAGTTGCTGCCTACACAACAAATCCACAGCCTCCCCAACAATTCCCAGCTTGGTTTGGGTCGTCAACATTATCAGCACAACAACCTCCTTTTGGTCCCTATACATTAGAGGCTCAAGCAATTACACACGTTCAACAACAACAATCACAAATACAGCAACAGCGATATAGGAGACCTAAAGTTTATGCACGTGATTTGCAAGGGGTTTGGAATTTTTTGTATTTTTTTT